AAGCCCGAATTGAATTCAATTCATAATTATTTTATATTTTGTAAAACTTTAAAGAACTTTTTATTAAAAAACTCAACAATTTCAAAGCGAGCAGTGGAAAAATTGTACGGAATAAAATATTTTGATCTCCCGGTGCGAGGCTTTTATCCGAAATGCTGTTTTTAAATCTTTTAACTCAGAATGGGCTTTAGCCCAAATACTCTCGAAACTTGAATGTGTGTGTAAATTGGGGGGGGGGGGAGGGAGGAGGAACTTTGGACAATAATGTACAAAGGTGGTTTTTTTTTTTTTTTTTTTGGGGGGGGGGGGAAAGATTTTTTTTTTTTTAAATTTATTTTAAAAATTTGCTATATGCTAGTTTTGTTAACCTTTATTGAACTGTGTTATGCAGAAAACATAATGCTGTAATCAAATTATAAATTTGTCACATTTAATACTTACATAATTCATACAGAAATTTAAAATGCAGTACCATTTAAAACCTGCATTAACTATTTAAACAGAGAAACTTATTCCTATTGCTCTTCATATTTGTATTATTTTTCATTTGAATGCTTTTTAATTCTTTCTTATTCATTTATAAATACACCACGTTTATCTTACAAGAAATACATGAAAGTCTCTTAAGCGTAGAACAATTTTAAGCATGTTATAGGAATATTTTGTACTTGTTCAGATACAAGTGCCCATGTTCGGAATTTTATATTCTTTAGCTACTTTCATTCTGCAGCTTTTTATATGTAATATACTTTAAAGTAAAAAAAAAAAAATGAAATGGTAATTTAATAATAAACATATGATAAAGATAATAAAATATACACAATGAATGTTACAAATGTATATTGTATACATTTAAATATTACATGAATGGAAAAGATAACTAAATGGTACATACATTTATACATGTATAATACATTTAATGTGTAATACATTTTTAAATGAAATTAAGTTAATTATGTTTTCTTTCAACAGTAAGAAATACATGATAAAATGCCTCAAAACAAGTATTCCTAACCCTTTTCTTGCATCAGCCTCTTTTAAAAGAATGGTTTCTTTATTGATCCCCTTTACATTTTTCTCTCTAACATACAGTATACAATTAAAAAACATAATTCATTTGATTTACGTTTCTTTATTTTTGTATTATTATTACTTTTTCTTAAAAACGTAAACAGAGAAAAGGTTTCAGAAATAAAATCACAGATTCTAATTGCACAGAAGTTTGATTACAATTAATGTGATGGCTGGGCTCTATGTAGTGACACAATATGTTTAAAGCAGCCGAGCGGTAAAATCGCTGAACACTGGTAGTTAGGTCCGAGGTTCGAATCCCGCCGAACGGGCTGGCTGCATGGGCATTTTCGTAGTTTTCCCCATGTGTAACGTGTATACGAGCCAGTTTCTCTTAGAAAGTCCTCCACGAAGGCATCACTCCCCTTAAGCAGATAGCCCTAGTGCGCTTTGCCGTATTCTCAATACACCACCAATACACCAATATGTTTAATATTTGGCATAAAATTGAGTAACTTAATTCTTAAATCATCTCTTCAAAAATATTCAACTTGTTTTTCATACTAAATTATTGACTTAACTAAAGTGTACTTCTGCTAGATAAAAAGAAAGAAAGTGAATAATGCATATTCAATAACAACTTTCATTTTGGGATATTTCTTTCGGGTGACTTTTAAATCCCAGAGCTTAGCACACCTGTGTATTAACCCTTAGCGCTCCGTTGGCTCCGCCACGGGGGCCATCCGGCATTTGTTCCGCAGCTCCGTAGGCTCCGCTACGGGACCATCCGGTATTTATTCCGCAGCTCCGTAGGCTCCGGTGAGGAACAAAATGTTCTTAGCATGATTACGCTTAAGATGTTGCGGTATCGTCGTCGCTGGCAATTGTTATCTGTAGTTAAAACGAGCTCACCCTCTGTACTGTTACAATTAAAACATTTTTTGACCTTTTTTATGATTAGCAACATGAAAAAAAAAATAATTGTTATGATGAGAATTTAGAATTTAGTGTGAGTGAAGACGTGTTTGATTTTCCGGTGTTAAAAGATATTGCGAAAGATAATGTTGATTAGAATTCTGACACTTCAAATATTGGTTCCTAAATTATACTACCAAAGAGACAACGAATGAGAATTATTGAAAGAGAAGATGATGATTCGCAGGAAGACTTCGATGTTACACTTGCCCAAGTAAACCCAGGATGCACATGGGAGATTGTTTTCAAAGATATCACACCATTGTAAATCACAAAATTTAAAATTTATCTTTCATTTGCAAGAAGAAAGTGCATACGCATAAAATAAATAAAATTTAAAACATTCAGAAGCACGTGTAATTCTTCTCACTTAAAATAAGACTCCGTTTCACTCATTCCACTGCGAAAATGTGCCGGAGTTGCTGGTAGGCAGTGGTACAAAAATGTGCGGAGCGCTAAGGGTTAAGATACAATAACACGCCGAACAAATATTAATTTAGAAGTCAAACAACAAAGATCAGCGTTATATTTTCAAATTTTCACACACCTGTTGGTCATCACTACGTCTATTTAAAATTCCAACGACACCCCGCCCCCAGTGGGTCGATACCGACCCTATTCAGAGCCCCTGACTTAAAATATTATTTAAATTTTAAACAGTACACATAAAATAGGTTTAGTTTTTAAAAGTAACTTCATATAAAAAGCATCCATTCATATACGTTTCCCGATAATTTACACATCAAAAAAGGACTTAAAAATGGCAAATGAAGAAAGTACTTACTGTAGGGGACATTTTCCGATCTAATGGCTCAAATGTTGTTTCATAAAAAGCCCCATTGGGTAATTGATGATCAAGTAACCAGTTAACAGCTTTCGATATAATATCAGGATCAATATACAGAAAGTTTTCCCATTCTTGAAAAGTTGCTTTGTGGAAAATCCTTGCACAAAATGCTGTTAACCTGTGGATTAATTAACAAGACAAATGTTGAAACTATCTTCTCCATAATTCGCTTTGATACAAGTATTCTAAAATATAATGAATTATATTTGAAACTAAGCCTAACAGAATATTAAAACATGAAGAGATATTAGTTTAAAAATCAATTTTCAGCACAAGAGGTGATCTTAGTCTCGATTTTCACATTTCAAATTAAAAGCTGTCACCGCAAAATGCCTGGCGTATATATTCTATCAGGAACTCTAAATATACGATGTTTTTTATGTATTTTTGATTTTATATGCTGTATGTGTGAAGAAAATGATGTTTAATAAATAAAGACAAAATAATAAAAGTTAATAACACAAAAAAGGTCATCTTTTAAAAAAAAATAACATTTATATTATGAAGAGAAAAGACCGAAAAAAAATTAATGACAATGCTGTAATGCAAATGCATATGCTGCTTTTAAGTTTTTGCGATTTTACTGTTGAACATTATGGTGCATAAGTGCAAAGAAAGTGTTGTTTAATTATCAATTATAAAACACTAGAAGTTGCTTAGGTCTTCATATTAAGAAAACTGAACATTGATATGATGACCTTGAAAAAAAACTGATTAAAAAGAAAAATATATGCAACACTTAACACTAATGAGTATTCTAAAAATATGCTCCTTTTAAAAGTTTTATGGTTTTATTGGTTAATTTTATGTGGCATAAGTGTGGAAAAGCAAAGCTGAGTAAGAATGTTTAATTGATAAAAAGAGTTATGCTAGTATGAGTGAGCAGGCTGGTAAACTGTGAATAGCATAAAAAAATAGTGAGAGCATAAAAAATCTTAACAAACTCTCTGAAACAAAGTTAAAATTCTGAATGCTTTCAGATTTTCTGCTGTTTTATTTTTTTTTCCTTCACCTCTCTAAATTATATGCTAATCTTGATTAAAATTGCATAAGAAATTCTAATTTAAGGATTTTTTTCCCTGGAAGAAAAGAAAGTGAAAGGACTTTTTCAAGCCAAGTAAAATGTTATAAAACATATGCCATGAATAAATATAGTAAAAATCCAACTATCCAGCATTCATCCAAAGAGAAAGTTCAAGTGACAGGAATATTTTAGAATTTCAGAGGAAAACAAAAATCCCCCCTCCCCCAAAATTAAATAAATGAGAGGTTTATAATACTACCATTATAGAGGTCATTAAATTATTAGCATGTATATGTATATTGTTGTCAAATAGTAAGATTTAGCTCCAAAAATGGATAAGCATAATACTACAACACAATCATAAGAATTTAGCTTTGGTATGTAAACTAGATTAATTCTTGATAAGCTAGCTTAGTTTTCGTAAAACGGATATAAGTTTTTTCTTTTGGGGGGTTTACATTTTGGGAAAAATAATTAATATTTTGGGAGTGCCTTTCATGAGACAGAAAGTAATAGGGTAATTTCTATTTCTAAGTTACAGGATCCTAGCATCAAGGTAGACACGATGTGCGACTTAATTTCAAAACATAAACTACAGCCATGCAACGTCAAAAACTGTGATAATAATTTGTATCTGTTTACATAAAGAATAATCTGTTCCATTCAACTTCTGCCAGAATGGTTTAGTTTAGTTTAGTTCATTAGATTACGGCAAAGCACTCGAGTGCTATCTGCCTTAAGGGAGGGATGCCTTCGTGGAGGACTTTTTAAGGGAAACTGGCACGTATACACATTACACATGGGGAGGAAAACCACGAAAAAACCCATGCAGCCAGCCCGTTCGCGGGATTCGAGCCTCGGACCGAACTACCAGTGTTCAGCGACTTGGAAGAATGAATGACGCAAGTTGTGCGACGTCTCCAGCCAACTTTAATGTTCGGTGGGATTTCATAAGCAGATAAGGTGATTCAGTTTCATGTTTAAGACCTACGAAATACATCGGCTTTTATGTCTGAAATTCATCTCCCCCCTCAATTCTTAAATCTATTCAAGTAAATAGCAAATAAGAGGGCTGTTTTTATAATTTTGGAGCGGAAATTTATTTCGTCCGTTCTACCTTGAACTCCAATTTTTATGCACTCGCTCAACTATCCGGAATTTTCAATTATCCGAAATTCGGTATTTTAAGAGCTTTTGCCGTATTACAAGAAAAATTTTTTCTAATTTTAAAATTTTATCTTAAACACAAATAAAAAATATGATGAAAGCAAGGAGGAAAAAATGAAGAAAATTGCTTGCAATTACATACTTTATGCCATTTAGAAGGAAGAATCAAATCCTACTGAAATAATTAAACATAAGAAAATACAAATCTTATGGAATAAAAATTTAAGTAACACACTAAAATTTCTAGAAAATTAAAAATTTAATATAATTTCCTTTATACTTTACAAGTTTATAAATAAAATTTCATTTTTTTCTCACATTTTATTATTTAAGATTATTAACTGCATTTCAAGAAATCAAATGAGTATAACAGTCTGGACATAATTTCTAATGGATAGACTTTTATAACTCACCACACGCTTGGTTTCGAATTCCAGCGAAAAGGGGTAAATGATCCATCCTTTTGTTGATAACTTAATTGTCTCTGGTACCCTAAATATTAACAAAGGCACATTATTATGGAACAAAGGAAACATTAAGATATTTCTAAAGTTGCATATAGGGAGTCCGCAAAGTGCCTGAACAACTTTACTCTTTTACTGAAATTATTGAATTAACTGAAAATTTTATTTTTTCAATGTAGTTGAAAACTAATAAGGACTTTTAATTAATTTAAAAAAAAATGTTTTCCAGTGAATTTTATTCTTATACTTTTATTTTTGTTTTTACAATACATATAATTCAGGACTCAAGCAGTTATTCTTGGTATAATTTACAATTAATTTCAAATATTTCGTTGAATAAAATGCTCTTATTCTTTCATTCACATGATTCAATGGCATTTTGGTAGATCATATAACATAGAACTAAACAGCCTTACCTATGTTTAAATGCTTAAATGCTTGCTTCTCTATATCAGGTTGTCTCTGCCCTGTTAATCTCAAATATAATAAAGTATATAAATTAGCTGCAAAATTAAACATATTTTGTTCACCACACCAGGATGGTTTCCGCAATAAAGTGCTGGCATTTACTGGCATAGTTGCAAATGCAGGACCCGTCACATCACCTGAAAAATATGAAGTATATTAATATTGACAGAACTGGGTACAATAAACATCGTGTCTATAAAAGTGCTCAATCAGTCTCTCATTTTTGTAACTGGTGGTTACAGACAGTTACAAAAATGTTTTGAATGATGCAGATATTCATGCTGTGGGCATTTTCAAATTTTAAAAAATAAATAAACAAATAAAATAAATAAAAAATTTACCAAGATAATAAATTTCAGAATTTGTGATTTTTGACATCATCTTTGTCACAAATGCGAAGTTCATTTATTCGATCTTAAATACCATTCTTCCATTATTTATTAGTATGTAATATTTTTTAATTTATAATTTTGTTATAAATTATATTTATAACAAAATTATAAATTTATTCATGCGAGTTTTTAAATGTTAAAAATAAGTTATTGATATTCTCCTGAAATCTTGTTATTTTACAATGAATCTATTACTTAAATTTATAATACAATACAAAATACAAATACAAAATTAAATAATACGATACAAAAAATTAATTAAATTAGAAATAATTTTAAATTTAATTTATGCAAATAATGTTATGAGTCGGCTATACGGCAATATTGAAGCATTCCGATGTTTTCTCTGACATGCGTTCTACAGAGTTTTAAGATATCCTCTTTGAACTACATCTTTGTATTGATCGAAACATTTTACAACAATCTGCATAGAAATACTTATCACATAAACTATTAATATCAGAAACCTTTTCCTAAGACATTTTATTTTTACTTGGATACAAATGCAAACATTCTGCTCTTCAATTTGGCATGGCTCCAAAAATATGGTATCCAATTTCAAAATGAAATATCTCTGCCAATCTTTGTTGTCAGGCAGCCAGGTTTTTCATACTTTATTTTTTATAACGAGTACAAAAACATTCTGTCTGTAAGTATAGGGAGCACGGAAATAAATAGATGGAAAATTAGATTTCAGAATTTTTACAAAGTTGAGTTTTTTTAAATTAAAAAATGGGAAACATGAGTATTTGTGCCATTTGAAATAGCTTTGTAATTGGAATTGATATTTACAATCAACGGTCGTGAAAATAAAGTTTGGGTAAGGGCTTTTATTTTCTTAAATATACTGAATAACGCAAAATTTAGTACAATATTTGTTTTATATCTTCATATTAAAATGATAACAACAGCAGTTTTCCAAACAAGAAACTTAAAAATCTAAATACATTTTGTGAATTCCTAATATTATTTCAATGTTGAATGAAACAATTAAAAGTAAATAGATGATGACCCTAATGTCGAAGTTGAAGCAGACATGGGAACCATCTGCTAGTGAAGCCTTGAAACTGCGTTGAAGTGCATGGAGCGTCAGCCAAATGTGACCATGTCATTGTCAAAGGGATGCGCGACTTGCCTGCCCGAAACTTTCACCGAGAAATTCAGCAAGCAATGACTTTCAGTACTTGTAAGTACTGTGCAGTAAAAGCATTACCTTTTCATTTTAGTTAATTAAAACCTCTTTTCCTTTAAAAATAGTTTTTTCTCCCATTTTCAAAATACAGTAATTAATTAAAGTGTACGTAGACCCTTTCTTCGGAAAAAATCCAATTATCCGGCTATACAAGTATCCAGTTATCCAATTATCCGATTCGGTCCCAAATGGTTCGGATAATTAGAATTCTCATATCAGCATTTATAGGAAATTCTCTTCGCATCTTCAAATTCGTCACTCACAATTCATTCCTCATTAGCTTCTTCAAACAGTTTATCACATAATGAGCTTGGATTTGTTTCAGGAGGCGACAGGCATCCTCTAGCATTAATGTTGCAACTTCAGTTTTTACATTATTATCAACGGAATCATTAAATTCCTGAAAATTCACGTTAGTTGGAGACATACTAATTTTTCAGCTTCCTTCTTTATTAAAAGGCTGGCATGCTTAAAACAGTTCTTTACCGTCTTTCTGAGAAGTGGTTATAAATCCTAAATGTTGCCTTAAATCAAAATCACGATAGTTGGCGACTTAACACCTTCTTGGCGATATGTCTTGTTATTTGGCAACTTCTATACTTTATTTCGACCTTATATGGCGATTTTATGTTTTACTTATGTTAATTGTTGATCCCAATAAGAAATTTATTTCCCCCGTTTTTGTATACAAATGGGCAGAATTTCAGCATTTTGATACCAATACCAAAATTATATAGTTCCACCGCCTCATCCGTGACCATGAGCGCAAACGCGTATGCGCCATTCGAACCGAATTATTCTCTAGGGTGGAAGGATGGGGACATTCTTTCCCTCGAACATATAAATTCTCTCTCTCTCTCCGGAGAAGAGAAGACTTTCAGGTGACCTTTCACGTCGCAAAAAGTAATAACGCCCCTTTTGCGCGAGTCTATGTGTTGGCAGAATGCCAGCCAAAGTTGCGTTTCAGACGGTCGAACTATAACTGCAATCACATTAAGCACTGCCTACAGTATGAACAAATATACTGGTTTACTGAATTTTAGAAAGTTTTACGGTAGCAGACATGGAGCATTTCGTTTTTAATCCGTTTCAACAAAGTCATGTAATTTCTAAACAATCTCTCTAATTCAACATTGTTATTTTACCAAACATTAAAATGAAAAGAAGTCTATACAAACCAACAACAGAAATCTGAGCTTGATTTGATCCAAACATGTATAATCTGTCTAGCCGATAAGGAACTATCGGTGTTTCTGTAATATTTGTATCCAAGTATTTAATAAGATAAGCTCCTTGACTCAAGTCCAGCTGCACGGTAGTATGCCTGTACTGAGGTATGCCATCAGCCTGCAAAATAATAATAATGATAATAAAAGTCTGAAAGGGTTCAGATTTTAACAATCCCCTGAAAGGGCTCTTTTATCAGAAATTATCAACAGACATGCCCCAGGTGGAACAGAAAAACTTGTTATAGTGTATTATAATGGTGTATTATAATGAATATGCATTTAGACTGACATGGGAATGTTGTATATCTTCTGTGCATTAAAAACGGGAGAAATATGTAATGTAATTCTGTAAAAGATTTAATGTTTCTAGTTAGAGATAGCATGGAATAAATGTGTTTTTATTTAACTCACTCATATTCCAAAGTAAAAAAATACTGTTCTTAAGAACTGCATCTATTGCTTTTAAATAATCTAGTTTGTTCATCAACAACAGACATATTATTAGATACGAAAGAAAAGCTGAGACTTGAATAAAAAGTGAAACAATACAAAATCGCATATGGTAGTAGTTTTTTTAAACAAAGGTGCATATTTAATTGCATGCAATCCAGAATATAATATTTTTTCCGCTTTTTTCACAATTTTATCTTTGAAAATCCTGAGCAGAAATTATACAAATCATTTAAATTCCGAAGGAAGCGGTTACAGTAAGAACATAAATGAAAAGTAATATTATTTCTTTAAACGAAACCTGCATTCCAATAAGAACACACAGTAGCATTACCATTAAAATATCGAATATGTATTCATTTCTTATATAGATAGATGTCTTCCTTTCTACTTCCCTGCTACTTGAATCTCACTCTTTCTTATTCTCGCCTCAGCTACATCCTTGAAACACCCATAAATAATTAGTAAAGATGAAAGTCCAATCAACTTGGTGAAATCATAGACTGTATGCCAGTTTATCTTTGCTTTGCCGTGATGGGGTCTGTTCTTGTATTATGCTGGCATAAAATTCAACAGTTAGAAGGGAAATATACAGCATGACCTTCACAGGTAGTATGCGAGGGTTTGTTTTCGTTAGTAAGACAAAAACAGTCACTATGGATGAAACCATTTTAAAATTTAGGGGAGTTTGTTCTTTGAATGCAATGAGAAAGAGAGAAAATTTTAAGAATATTTTTTTAAATTTTCAGAATCTTGTGCTAAAACACTAGGGAGAGAATTTGTGAGGAAATATGGTACATAAACGTTGTACACAAAAAAACTTCAACCTGTCCCCCCCCTTTTTTTTTTTTTACACCAGTTAAAACTTTACATTGACTGGATTGGTTTATTTAAACTGTGGCACAGTTTGCAAAGGCTATCTGCCTAACGGGAGAGATGCCTTTGTGGTGCGCTTTCTAAAGGAAACTGGCAAGTGAAAAACCATGAAAACTTCCGTGCTGCCCGTTTATTCACTTAGAACTGAATCGAGGACAAACTATCAGCGCTCAGCGACTTTATTATTTGGTCATGAAGTTCTCTTACAAATGGTTGCTCTTGAATTCTATGTGTAACTTAGTTTCTTCACTTCTAATGATGTTTATTGTTACATCATTACTTATAGTGTTTTTTTTTTTTTTTTTTTTTTTTTTTTTTTTTTTTTTAGTATACTGTTTTAATATGTGCAACCAAATGAACTTATTCTCCACCGAAAAATGCTTGAATATACAGGTAAACTGTTAACAATATTTTTCTGTTAATTCTAATGTGGATTACCGTAATTTCGGGTAGATAAGCCGCGGCTTATACGTGTTTAAAAGAGGAAAATTTAGGTTGGCGGCGTATCTGAGGGAATTTTAGTTTTCTTCTGTCCTTAAAAAATCGCTAAATCAAACCTATGACTTTTGTTTTACTGGCAACAGCTACGTTTACTTGCCAAGTGCTGTGTTCATTCATACACGTTTTTACTGCTTTGTAGCTTGCTTTTTGTTTGCCTTATCATTTGCACTTTAAAAATATTAATATTGTCATTGCTGCTACTCGAAGAAAAAGTTATACAGCTGCTTTTAAGCTTTCGGCAGTAAAGAAAGCCATCGAAATTGGAAATCGCGCTGCGGCTAAAGAATTTCAAATTGACGAGCGATGCATTCGGCGGTGGATGTCTGAACAAGAATTAGAGAAAATGCCTAAGAATAAAAGATCTCGTCGAACTGGTGTCATAGCCTGGCCTGTTTTGGAAGACAATTTAGAGAAATGGACAATAGAGCAGAGAAAAAAGTGGATTATCAGTATCAACAGTTAGAATTTGCCTTCAAGCAAAGGTATTTTCTCAAGAAATGGGCATTAAAAATTTTGTTGGAGGACCTAATTGGTATTTCAGGTTCATGAAGCGAAAGAAATTATACGTCCGGACCAAAACAACAGTTGGACAAAAAGCTTCCAGCGGACTGGCTTGAAAAAAAGATAGCTTTTTTGAATATACATCTAACAAAATTGAACAAAATTTGAAAAGAGGGCAAATAATTAATATGGACAAAGTGCCCGTTACTTTTGATTGTCCTCCGAGCAGAACTGTTCATTCAATAGAGGAAAAAACTATTTCAGTGTTAACAACCGGGAATGAAAAGACTTCTTTTACTTGTGTTTTGGGTTATGCCACCAATGGAGAAAAGTTAACCCTTTGATCATTTTCAAGAAAAACAATTACGAAAGGAAACTTCCCAAAGGAGTTATTATTTGCGTCAACGAAAAAGGATGGATGTGCGAAGAAGGGGTGATGTTTTGGCTGAGAGAAATTTATCGAAAAGGAAAGGTGCTTTTTTCCAACCCTGAGGACTCATTGTTCTGGATTCAAGGCGATCCCATTTAGCGGATACGGTAAGATCTGAAGCAAAAAAAAACTTAGCACCGATGTCTCGCAGTGATACCAGGTGGGCTTACAAAAATTTTACAGCCGCTAGATCTCAGTATCAATAGAACTTTCAAGCACGAACTACGAAGGCAGTGGGAGGAATGGATGCAAAGCGGACTCCATTCCTTCACGAATTCCGGACGAATGAGAAAAGCTTCGTATGAGGAGGCTGCCTTATGGGTCGATAAAGCATGACAATCAGTCCGAGCTGATACGATCGTATCGGCTTTCATTAAATCGGAAATCATTGAAAAAGAAAATGAAAGTGAAGATAGTGACGTTGAAAGAAGTGGTTTAGAATAGAATGATGAAACTGACCTTGATGGACATTTGTTAAATTTATTTAAATCAGACATCGAAGAGTCGGATTTTGAAGGTTTTGTATAAATAAATGTAGTTTAATTTAATTAGAAAATTCTGTTTGTTTATCTAATTTACGTATTATTTTTCATAATGTGGTAATTTATGCTGATAAATGGAATTTACCAAAAACGTAAAAATAATATATAAGAAATCATCAGAGTTCGTTTCGGCAAGCGGCCGAGCGGTAAAGTCGCTGAACACTGGTAGTTCGGTCCGAAGTTCGAATCCTGGCCGTTTTCGTGGTTTCCCCATGTGTAGCGTGTGTACGAGCCAGTTCCCTTAGAAAGTCCTCCATGAAGGCATCCCTACCCTTAGGCAGATAGCCCTAGTGTGCTTTGCCATAATTAAATACACCAACACACACCATCGTTTTCGGCAAGTTCAATGTAAGATGTTTCTTCTTTATTTAGATATTACTGATTACATTTATGTTGTAAATGTTATCAATGATGATTACATCTTGTATGGCAGGGAATTACTGAATGAATGAATATTAATTGCCATGCTTCGGAATGCTTGGCTACGGCGTATATGACGGTGCGGCTTATCCGATGACCTTTTATTTTTTTCAGTCAATTATCATGTGTGCGGCGTATACGCCAGGGCGGCTTATCTACCCGAAATTACGATATTCCCCTTTCCTGCTTTTCTTAACTCCTCTAATCGTAATTTTCTTTTATTCAAAGATGCTATCCCTGGTCAATTTGAAATTCTTTATATATATAAGCGGCTAAAGTGTGGTCGCCGATAGTTTATTGTTGCCACTCAGAAAAATGAGCGCGGAAATTAACATTTACGCAGTTTTTAATTAATATCTCGGCCGATTAAAGTCGTACGAAGATGAGAACGGTATCAAAGGATTCGGAGTTTTTTGGAATCCGAGGATACGCGTCTCGATTTTCAACTCGGCGCCGTTCCGTATATATTCGAGAAAAAAGAGTTTGGCACGTAGCCAAATCACTGTAATAGGGAAAACCCAAGAAAGAAAGTGGAAAATTTAGGGAAAACCTACGGGAAAATTAGTTTTTAATTAATATCCCGGCTAATTAAAGTCCCAAGAATACGCGAATGGTCAAAATGGACCACGGACCTGCGGAATCTAACGGTGTGCTTCACTAAGCCCGGGAGCCAGCCGTTTCGGAGGAGATAATGTTACTTCACCCCATATATATATATGCGGCTTAAGTGTCTGTTTGTCGCTGATAGTTTATTTGTTGCTTGCGTAACTGTACTAGCCAATGGGGTGAAGTTGCCACAGCACAGGGTTGCCGTTTCAATTGAGACGTAGACAATTTCCTGTAAAACTTGCCTTTGCTATGACCATCCATAAATTTGAGGGCCAAACGCTTAAGCGTGTTGGCATTTTTTTTACCTGAGATTGCATTTGGACACGGTCAACTTTATGTTGCCTGTTCAAAAGTTTGTGAAAGAAGGACGTAAAATTAAACATAATGGATGGTCCTCTGCAAGGCGAGCTTACAAATGATGGAAAGATCTACACAAGAAATGTTGTGTGCAAAGAGATCATTGACATGTGAATTAACATTTCATTATTTAAATTACCTTTATTGATTGAGCTAGCGGTGTGCTCTTAAGAAATGTACCGCCAGTGGTTTCGTTCACTGCACTCTAAGCAATTAAGCAAGTAGAAGGGGGAACCCCCGTGGGACAGTAAGGAAAGGGGCGTCCTCGCCGCCTGCCCTGGGTAATTCAGTTTGAATTAGCAGACACCTTTGCACAAATCATTTTAATTACAATTTATAATATCTAGAACAGCGGTCATTTCGTATGACCGCCAGGCCTTCTAGTTACTACATAACTGAATAGCAGTTTGTTGATAAATCTCTAAAAATAATAAATTAAATCGAAAGAAAATTTTGAATGACTTACCTCGACATGAACTCGCCTAGTCACAACATCTTTAGCTACTTGAGATTTTGTCATTATAGTTACATCAATGTCACCAAGACGAGTAGGAACAATAGGCATATACACAACAACAGCTTTGCCAGGCTTTATCTAAATAGAATGATACTCATTAGAAAGCCATCAACATTTCTTTAGATATAAATTTACTTTATACAACTATAAAAGTATATTGAGAAAGAAAGCTATAAATTTGCTGACCTGTAAGAAAGCGTTTAAATGAGTGTGAAATGATTTGAAAATCATTCTAAACTAATTTCCTAACATGAAAATAAAATTCCAAATGATTCATTTAAAAAATATTAATGCAGGCAAAATTTTGCAGTGCTTCAGAAATATTTTGAAGTTTCATGCAAGGCATTTTGTAATCAAAAATATTGATTGACAATTTTAGAAGCAAATTTTAAAATACAATTTTGCAATACTTTAAGGATTTGAGTTAAACTAAATAAGGCAAATTTTTCTTGTTTATATGCTTGGCCTAATTAAAGAATACAGAAGATTAAGAAGTTCATAAAGTATTTTCTTTGAAGATAATGTTTACTTTTATTTAAATAAAGTTAATTTTATAGATTTTTTTTTTCAAATCATTACTTCAAATTGCAAAACACTCGTACGACAAATAACTTAATTCCTACTTACAACCATTGCAATTAACAAAGACTAAAAATGTTGCAACACAGTAACTTTTAATAACTAAAATGGTGTTGATAAAAGCTCTAAGTTTTTTAACGAACAGAAACTTACGAAAACTAAATGTTGATGCTCTCCAAAAGAGGTTCTTGGTTTATAAGATTCAACTTTCCCAAATGATTCAACGTGGACAAATTTGTAATCAGGAGAATCAGCTACTACGACGAGAGCCTAACATGCAAAAATAATAGAAGAGAATTAATAATTACAGTACACACTAAAATAAATAATTCACCTGAACATTAAAATATTACTTCCTACTAACATACTTACTTTTTCATATTTAAATTTTTATTTGACTTTTTTATATTTAAAATTGATGATCAAAAAGAATAACAATAAAAACAAACAAAAAAAATTGCTCATTATTCATCGATTACTGTTTAAATAATGAAAAATACATAAAATAAAATTTTAAAAAATTCAAAAGATTCAGATTTTAACGGCTTCCAAGAGGGTTGGCTTAAAGTTGAATATGGTTTATCAGTAGAGAGTACCCATAGAGATGTCATGGGATAAAGAGAGATTTATAGACTAACATGGGAATGTTCCACAGCTTCTGTTTATTTGAAAAGTGAAAAAAATATACAACATTGTATAAATATATTGAATGGTTTGAATTAGATATATCATGAACTAAATACATTTTTTTTTCAATCAATTGAATTAAAAATTTTTTAAAATAATATTTTTAAGAATTGCATGTATTGCTTTTCAACAGCTTACTTTTTCATCCATAACAGACATATTCAACCGGAAAAATAAATATCTTACATTCGGCTGAATGGCAACGGACTTGCATGAAAAGTAAAACAAGGCTTTGACAGCCGATAACATTTAAAGTGAATCAACTCAAAATCGTACTTTGAGCTAATAGCGCTTTGGGGGCTAATAATCATATATCTCTGAAATTTGTTCAAAACTGTAAATTTACTGCAAAGCATACAAATACGAAATTTCTTTCCCAAAGTAAATATAACTACTCACGTCTCCAAAAGTAGCCTTTAATAGTAGATCATTAATATCAATGAGCATGCAATTAAAAATCAAATGAATCTTATTAATTATACTGAATATCAGGTTAACTACCACTAGTACCTTTTGTACAAGACCTTTTACTTTTTATATATTTTTTACACTCTAGTATGTTTATCAACAGTTCTAGTATATTCTTGAGTGTAAATCAGCATTCTTAAATTTTTTTTGAAGTGGAGACCACTTTTATACATGTTCTGTGGACCATCTTACTCTTGTACTCTTGGAAATCATTTTCTTGCATTTTTAAAATAGAATTAATTAAAATTCATTTAATTTCAAAACTTCTGTTCTTAATTAAACCACAAATTTATTGAATAAAATGCAAATTACTTTGTACACAATTTTATTTTGGTTCATATGCTTTAAGAAGATATATATATATATATACATGAAACGGATATATACATATTTATTTAACACAAATAAATTAAATTATAAATGCATTATTATGATCAACTCATTTTGACCGAAGTAAACCTTTTCTAGATATGAAATATGTCTATCAGATTTCTTATTTCAGTAAACAAAGAATGAAATGGAATAACACTTTAATGCTTCTTATTGCCAATATTTTCCTCAAAAAATAAATACTATGATAAGAGATAAAATAACATATTTAATTTAATGATAGCAAACAAAAAACTTGTCTCTCGTATATATATATATATATTTCTACAGAAAGGTGTTTGGCGCAAGTTGTCTCATAATGGGAATGATTCTTATTTTGATAAAGAAGCTACATGCAATTAATGTAAAAATTGATTAATTACCTCTATTTCATACAGCATATAGTTGAAAACACTTATCCGAATGCCAATTTGTTCTCCTTGCATGCTTTTTGTTGGCATTTCCACGTTCATATAAAAAGGCTTTACGCTAGAAAACTTTAAAAAAGTTTGCATAAATGAATTCGCTAGAAATAAAATAACATTTTTTCGTTTGAAATTAAAATATTAAAATGTTCATATGAATTTTAAAATTATCTGAGTCTGCCTTTGCAATCATTCAAAAATATTTATATTTATATTTATTTAAACTGTTATTTGTGACATGTATGTGCATAAAAACCTTTTTTATAAATAAATATAAATTCCAGTCACAACAATTTATTTACAAAATATCAGAACTGCAAAACAGTATAGAAAACAAAATAAATAACACTACAATAGCAGTAAGATACTGCTATACACGTCAACTTTTAGCGGTTAATGTGAAAAATATTTTTTAGTTCATTCGCGCAGTTGTATATAGATGAAAAATGAAAATTCAGCTGCAAAATCTAGATGGAACACCGCTAGACTTACTGTCTAAGAGACTAATTTTTAGATATATTTAAATAAAATAAAAATATTGATAAAAAATTAATAAATAGGATGCTCAATCAACCATTTACATTAGGTAGAAGTTACTAAATATGTACAAAAAATATAGAATTTATAAAATAATGCAAACAGCAGAAATAAAGTTTTTAAAAGCCTTTAAAGGCATGGAACTGAAAAAAAAAAAAAAAAAAAAAAAAAAAAAAAAAATTGAAATATTACCTGTGAATTAAAATATCTTTTATTTGGTGAGAAAAAATCAGAATATATTAAAACACGAAAGTTACACATCTACTTTCATAATGTGCTCATAAGTAATGAATGAAATTTTCCAGATTTTTCAGAAAAACTTATTAAAACTTCTGCTGAAATTTTCTGAAAACGAGTAAAAGAGAATGAGGGACCCAGAGATGGAACTGATATTTTAAAAGCCAGAATATATTGACAGCATGTTAGTGAAGATGATAATCTAGTAGCTCTTATCAGAACAATACACGAACTTCCAAATTAAAATATTAGTTCTATATTTATATGAGAATATACGATCCTTCTCAGTTTTAACAGAAAAAGGTTGAAGATTATTTTCATTTAATTAAAATAAAAAACATTTCTCAATCACTGAATAAACTAATACCCACATAATTATTATGGTACTAATTATTAACTCCTTCACATCCAATCCGCCCGACGCGGCCCTACATTGAAACAACCAGAACCGCCCGAAAACGGCCGAGATTGTAATCTTCTTTTCTTCCCTTCCCCTAAGGTATGCAGTAGCAGGTGCACTTTCGCCAAATGCATTGTATCAGTTTACTGCAAACAGCTTGTCCTAAGAGGTTTTTTTTATCTTGACATTCTTCTGGTTGATCGTGACATTTCGTTGTTGATTCTTTTGTGGTACAGTGTGGTTTTAAGATTTAAACAGCAATAAAAATAGCAAGTTTAAAAATTTAAGGACTATATTTATTTTTAATCAATTTATTCCTTCCTATAAAAATAACGGAAATAAACAAAATCTCAGTCGTGATCATAACAAAGCCGGAAAGGCTTGTTGATCTGACCTTCAGAATAGTTTTAGATAAAAGAACGGGGTCAAAGGCTTATGGAATTTCATTGTTAAGAAAGTACAAAGGATGTCATTGGAAATCTTCACACTTATGTTTTCTGCGTTAATGGACGGGAAGGGAAGGAAATTGCTGTGAAACTGGAAAAGTATTTTGGGCGGTTCGGGTATTTTGAGGATACAGCTTAGCGAAGGGTCTGGATTTCAAAGAGTTAAAGAAACAATTTGAATTCTTTTCCTCAATGCATGATGGAATTCTTTCAAAAAAAGTTTTTAAAAAATCTTTGTTGCAATTTTTTAAAGTTTGGAGTATACTAGCTTTTAATTAATAATTAACTAAATGTGGCTATTATAAAATAAATTACAGGTTTTCTTTTATGGCTTTTTTTTAGAGGGGACAAAAATATTTACATGTTGTCATTCAGAAAGTGTTATCACAAATTTTTAGATTTACACTTCGAATTATTGATAAATAAACTGTAAATCATATTTAGTTGACTTTAGCAAATGAAAAAAGCTTCAAAAATAAATAAATCAGATTTTTCAAATATATTTTTTAATAAATATAACCTGAATTAAGAGCACTAAAAATTACCTAACAGTCAGGTTAATACTATTCACTCTTTTATCCCCAAGAGAAAAAATACAAAATGAAAAGCAATTAAGAACTAAATCAAGTAAAACTGTCATTACAAAATAAGATGAGCTGAAAAGACACTCACTTCAATTGTTTTGTCTTGGATTCCAAAACCATCTACATTATTCATACCAAAAGAACTAACCATCCATCGTGTAGGAATTTCGGGAACAGGTACATTAAAAATATAATAACCCAGAGGCCTAGAAAAATCATGCATGCAAATTACACAAAAAATCAATTCTGCAAAAAAGTACGCAAGAATTAATATAACAACATAGCAGTTCATCCTCTAAAAATTTTGATGACCCTAAATTCTGATGCGCAATGAATTCTAAATTCGAAGTTTTTTAACACTTCTGTATTCTGCCACTTCCTTGCACCTACTCTGGTGCTGATCCTGTATATACAGCATATTTCAAAATTCTGGGAACACTCTAAAAAGTTTATTGTATCTATATGAGTAGCTTTGGAAAGAAACAAAGTACATCATTTCAAAGAGCTGTAAATTATTTTCTTATTGCAAGTGTTAGGTGCAGTTCCATGTATCGTCGCTAGGTTATACCATAATTAAGATGGCACTTTTTGGAGCTGAGAAGGCTATTTGCATGCTAGAATTTGATAAAACAAAGAGTGCAACAGATGTCTAACGAAAATTTCGGAAGAAGTACGAGAAAGCAGTTCAACCCAGAAACGCAATCTACAATTGAAATGTGAAGTTCATTGAAACAGGGTGTTTGTGTGCCAAGATGAGATGTGATCGGCAGTGCAAGATGTAATGCAAATAACATTGAACGAGTGAGAAGCTTTCCCAAGGAGTCCGAGAAAATCTATACGCAGAGCTTTGCAAGCGTTAGAAATGTCCACAACAATTATGTAGCGTGTTTTGCGTAAAACCATACCGGACATACCGACCATGAAACCATACCGACACAGTTAGTGCAAAAGTTACATCCTAATGATCAGCGATCCCAGTTTTGAAAAGGAAAATTTTGTATAATACAATTTTTTAACAATCTACAATAAATTTAAAGTGTTCCCGGACTTTTGAAACATGCTGTATATCATATAAAATGTAAAAAGGGGTCAATTCTGTAAATTTATTCTGAAAACAGCTTAATCAGGTGATAATTAAAAAATACATTTTTACCCAATATTGATATCATGCCAAAGCCAAGCATTGTCATACAATCGTTGAATACGCTTGATACGATTCATTTTGAACTCTTTCAGTCTGATATCATCTTTAGCAGGGCCTAATTTAAAAAATAAGTTATTCATATTTCAATAAAAAAATTCATTTTAAGATGCTGCTAATTCATTATAATAATAAAATAATAACAATGCTAATAATAAAAATCCATTAGATCAGTTAAAGGTAAATAAAAAAACCTACATCCAGTTTCATCTGAACCATCATTACAATCTTTATATCCGTCGCAGTGTTGGTCAAATCTGTAGCACTTTTCCTCCAGGCAACTTAAATAGCCTAAACTCTGATTACAGAAATCTAAAAAATAAAGATAAGAAATTTAATAATATTAGTTCTACAAATGATAAACATCAAATTATTCAATTAAAATATTCATCAAACTTTCTAAAAAAATCGTTGTTCCCAGAATGATATTATGTTTTTTCAATCATTGATAGATTATGATATAGTAAACCTTTGCCGAACGTGGACTTGCAGAATATGATTTTGCATATACGTGTTATCTTAATTTTTCCATGTAATTTATCCAGTGCTAGAATTTAGTACATATACGGCAGGGCCGTTCCTAGGCCATTGGCTGCTCGCGAACTTTCCTAGAATCGCGACCCCTCTAATTTAAAAAAAAAAAAAAAAAAAAAAAAAAAAAAAAAAAAAAAATGCTCAATGATTAATAAAATTTTTATTTCATACTCACTAAGTACTTACATATGACAAATTGTACAAAAAGTACTTACAATGAATTTAAAATATTTAGTCGTAGTATCGCGAGAGTCCGGCTGCCCCTGATTTTCGCCGCGCGCGTATTTTTACGCGTTGCACCCCTCCCCCGCTAGGAACGACCCTGATACCCAGTATATTGCAAAGCATTAGCCGCATTGCCATGAGGTCGACCTCACAGCACTGCATCCAAATGTAGAAATTTTAACATTTCTACTTAATAAAACCAATGGAACATGGGATCAAATCAATCTACCAATCAAACCAATGGATCTATGCTTTAATCAACCCAATGGATCAAGGAATCATAAAACATTCAAAGCCTTTCAAGGATATTCAGGCATGTTTACACATCTGCAATTAAAGCACTAAATGGAGGAAAACATGGCACGCTAATAGCATTTTAGAAGCAATTCAACACAAGCCACTGCACTGAGATGATTAACAACGGATGGGAACAGATGAATGCACCAATGTTGAATGCTGATTCCCGTGGGGTTCGGCCAAAAGTTTTTAACAGTTTTAAAAGATTTCTATAGACTGACAATGAAGCCAGGAAAATTGCATAAACTGAAAAAGCAATTGGCAGTGAAGAGTTTTTAGATATGGGAATCAGTATATAGTATACAACTACTGAATAGTTTTATACCCTTTACGCCAACTTGGTTAATCATTATTTATTAATTTTTGCTTTCATCCCCGCTTGACTATCAACACCAAACTACACCAGAGTCGTAGTCTGAAGATTTCATGCCGCCCCCTTTTGCTATGAATGGGAAACATTTCATTTTAAAATTTTGTAACATCAGCTTGGGCGCCCTCCATATGTTGTGCATAGGGACAGAGTTCCCCTTGTCCCTCTCTAGCTACGCCGCTGATCAACACATAACAGCTCTAGAAATGATTGACACAGTGAAAAGTACACAATTTTTTTCAACTGAATACCAAAGAGCACGGCAACCTTTTATGTTGACACTGCACTGCAAAGTATTGAGTGTTTTAATTTCAGGTAAATTTCTTCCTATAAGCAAAAAATAGATTTTGTAAGATACAAAGCAAAAGATTACATTTTGCACAGTTTGAAATTAGAATAACTGAATTTTTGTTCAGATAAGCAGCAGATTTAGAGAAGGTTTCTAAAGCAAAATTCTTAGAATTGAGAGAGGCGCTTAGCAGCAGAACTTAGGAGACGCAGATACTGCAGCAGACCGCAAAATGTCTAGGGATAGCCCTTGACAAATCTTAAGTATATATAGGAATTTATTTATTTGGAAAATCCCATGTAGCCGATTTACTCACTGGGAAATGAGCCTGGCATGAGGTAGCAGCATTCAGTAGTCATTCAGAATAAGTCTGGTTCAAGAGCAAATTTCTTAAAGAAAAATGGATCAAGAAACTCTTAACGAGATGTATTTCATTTCAGAAAACCTTACTTAAACTCCTGATGCACTTCTAATGAGTTTTAATACATTAGGTCTTGCTGAAATGAACTCTATGAAAGCGTCACACCATTCTAAGTTCAGTTTGTGGCCTTTAGAAAACACGTTAGGGCAAAATTGCCTAGTTTCGACTTAATGGGGATTTTTATAGTGAAAACTGTAGTAAAAGCTAGAACTACATAGAAGCACCAAAATAGACGGTTTTTTCAACACTTCTACTACGGTTTCTAAGACAATTCAGACAGTACATTTCTTTGACCATAAATTAATGTCAATACGTTAATTAAAATAATATATTTTAACAGAAGCTTTATTAGAAAATAAAGTATACAGTTCTACAAAACTCCAGAAGTTCTGAGAATAAATTAAATTTATTAATTATTCCCTGAAATTTCTACAGAGTTATTTATATTGTAATATAAAATTTTTGTTGATCTCTTGTCCTGAATTTATGGAAAATATGTATTATAGAAATCAGATTGCACGAAAATAAAAAGTAAACACATTAATTCATATTTAAAGAGTGTGCTGTTTATTAAGCTGACAATATACTGCGTCAAATAAATAACAGGTGCCATCTTGACCAGGAAAATGATTGAGAAATTATAAATGCAGGAAATAAGATGTTTGGCTCCCCAGCTCCAACAATGAATTTAGTCAAAAATGTAATACTTTTCAATTATTGTAAATAATGTTAATACAGTTTTCTTGCTTTAAATAAGATATTTTAAAACAGTGCTTCTTAAGTGTTTCAAACGTGAAAATTTTAATGAAATTCCAACATTTGGCACCCTTTCTTTTAATTCACCTCTCTCCTTGTTCCAGCTCTCATAACGAATACAAAACTTTGCCGAACATAAGTATAGGAACCAGGAGACTGCATTAAAGTTATTTAATTATTAGTCGAAAATAATGTGTTTTTTAAATTTCACATTGCAAAACATTTATATTTTTGTCATTTAAAACATTTCGGTAATTGGAAGTATATGGCTATGAGCAACGACTGTAAAAATAAAGGCGGGTTATGAAATTTTAAATTGGGTAGGGAGGTGAATATATGTATAACACAGCATGTTTCCGGGAACACTTGAAAAAGTCCAGGAACATCCGGGAACACTTGAAAAAATATATTGTAGCCAAACGAATAGTATTACAAAGCAACGAAATACATCATTTTAAAGCGTAAGGTTGTAAGTTTTTTTCAGCAACAACTTTGTAATGCTACTCGTTTGGCTACAATAAATTTTGTAAAGTGTTCACGGACTTTTGAAATACGCTGTTCGTATATATATGTAAGATATAACAAAATACGATAGCTGCTTTAAAAATTATTAGCGATCTCAAAATTAACACTCTAGATTTGGTGCTCTCCCCCTAAATTCATCTATTCTCCCGAATTCGAGATCTTTCTACGTTATATAACGCTACTGGAAAAGGACAACTAAAACTAATATTAACCAAACATAGCCTTGTCTCTAGAATCGCACCTACTCTTGGATAAATACCTCTGACGAGCTAATTACGTCATTCTTCTTCCCTAATCGCCGCTCTGTCAACATCACGTCGCTTTACCTCTGCTAAACTGCCTTCGTCATTTCTTGTTAAAAACCAATTTACATAGAAATTTATCCTATTTCATCAGGACTGAATCATAGAAATGTATTGGATTTCATTATGATTCGATAAACATCTGCTGAGATGACTTTATATGCGTGGAAATAAAAAGACTGTGAATTCGTCAAATTCATGTTTTTTTTGTTATCTTCATCTGTAAGCCTTCACCATAAGCAACAAAGACTGCAAGCTGGTTCCTCTTCTATGCTTAAAAAACATTACACACACGTATATAGTATATATATATATATATAGAAAGAGAGAGAGCAGTCCCATATACAAAATCGCAACGTTCTACGACTAATTATTTTTAAATTATGTGAGATACATACATACGTACGTAGGTATCAGGGGCGTAGCTAGAGGGGGGCAAGGGGGCATCTGTCCCCGGGCGCAGAATCCAAGGGGCGCCAAACTGATGTTACGACATTTTAGAATTAAATGTTTTCCATCCTTGGCAAGCAGTAGGGGGTGCGAAATCTTCAGTTTTCCCTGGGCGCTGAAAACCCTAGCTACGACTCTGGTAGGTATAGACATCACTGAAAAATCTGTTTTGAATCCATTTAAAATCTATTTTATTATTTGTTTTCGAAAAAAAAAAAAAAAAAAAAAAAAAAAGAGTCCTTTATTCCGTGCGGATCTACAGTCGTACAAGGAAGTAAACATATGTATTATTCCACAAGCAACTATGAGTTTTAAGACAACGGTTGAATAATAAAATAAAATTTTTTATAGAAAACTTATTTACCTAATCGCCGAGTGATATTTGCATCAGTAAAAACGATCAGACCAGCATACTAAAAAATAAAATAAGTATTATTAGCAAATATGTAATTATTGAGTAAACAATCACAGAACTATAAAACAAATTTGGACAGTATGTGGTTAAAAATATTTTATTGCACAGTTTTAGTGAATTAAAATATACCATATTTGTTAAATTCCAACCCTAGGTAAAAAATTCCAATATAATGAGAGACATTCTTTGACTTTTACTGTTTTAAATACACATTCTACAAATACTAAAATTCTAAAAAAGGAATTAGACATCAAGAGTAATTTTCTTTATAAAAAAATTAACAAGCTGATATGCTGTTACTGTTATTAACTATACAATAAATTGTTTGGATATTTAAAAACCCATTTTTTAAGCTATTAGAACAACTTGCCACATTACTGAAAATATGAAGGAAGATTAAGCAAATAATCTAAATTTAACAAAATTTTAATCTAAATTTTCCCATTTTTAAGACTTTTTTCTGAAGTCAAATTATAAACAAATATCATTATTGAACATCACTTTTCTAAGACGATCATCTCGACTAAAGACCAAAATTTACTTAGAATCATGGAGTTAAAATAAGTTCACTCTATTTCTGCTCAGTTTGAAAATTTCAATTTATTGCATTATTTGTATTTGAATTTGAAGGATAATCCTATTTAATGAAACTGAATTCTTAAGATTTTAAAATTTCAGTCACTGTTCAGAAGTTTTGAATCTGGCTGATTTGAAAATAATCTAAATACTCAGAAAGAATTTCGCTGACATTCAAATGTATTTTTTAATCTAGTATATTTGAAAGTAATTTAAACACTTTGAAATAATTTATCCTAAATTAAAGCTATGATATCATAGTTTTTATGTAATGATACTTAACTAAATTCTTTTTTAAAGCATTTTTAGCTTCCTAAATGTTTATGAATTGAAGCAAATCTCAAAAATGCATTCAGAAATAATATCTTACCTGCAGAGTTGTATATGCATCTATTCCATATGTAGCAGCTGGATAATGAACAACATTTTCCAAATTGCCTTCTTTTGACTGCCAAAGATGTGCCAAAGTCCCATTCATACCTTCATCAAAAAGACTCATTTTTGTCAAAACCTAAAAACAATGAAAATATCTTCTTAATAATAAGGATTTTTGATATTAAAAAAATCTGCATTTGTTAGATGTGTTAAATATTCGAAGTTCTATAAAAGTTATTCAATTTTTATTTAAGTCATTATTATGAATTATGAAACTACAGAAATTTAATATTTTATGCATTATTTTTCTCTCCCCGTGGACACAGCAGTTTGTTTTCCCTTATATAAAACATCAAAGAATTGCACAAACTCAGTACCGTGCACATTATATATATTTTATGACGCATGACTGTTATTGTCCCTTTGTACATAGCAATCTGTTTTCGCTTAAAAAAAATCAAAGAACTCGACAAACTCAGCATCGTGCGTAATCTTGTCATCATGCACTTTAAACACTACATACATTATACCATATGCATTATGGTTGTTCTTCCCATGGTAACAACAATCTGTTATCACTTAGGAAACATGAAAGATTCATATAAACTTGGCACTGCACACATTAAACACTACAGAATTATATGCTACGTTGCTATTGTATTACGTTGCATTAATTTCGGTTATAAATGACAATAGGGTTGCCAAAATAAAATTAATTTGAAAAAAAAAATCGAAAAGTAAGGTTTCTAAGTTAAAATCATTATTTAACATAGAAATCATCAAATCTGATGTGCCTCTTATTCTTCCCTTTAGCCAACTGAAATTTCAGCATTTTCACAATTCAGTAATAATGGCTTCATAGAATAAAAACATATTCAATAGCTTTTATACACAAATATGTGATAAAATGAAATGATAAATCAATAAAAGCAGTAGATTGTACACCATATGATTACCAAATATTCTATTTTATTCTATATCACATGCTCTATCTCTTTTAGCGTCTTAATTTTTAACTATAGTCCAAGGTCCAGCAACTTCCACAGTCTAGTTAAGTAAAATCAGTTTATGTGTCAGCCAATAGAGCGCTCCTAATACAACCCAACATTCAAAATCTGCTTGAATCGCAATAAATTCTCTTAGTTTTATATTCCTATTAAATTCTTATATTAAAATTTAATAATTTTATATTCCTATTAAATTATTATATTCAAATCCATTTCAAACAAAAGAATTTAATATTTTTATATTCCTATTAAATTCTTATATTTAAATCCATTATCGCCTTTCTCAGTCTCCGCCCCCCCCAAAAGGTGTATAAAAGATTGTGGTATTCTCATGACTTACCGAGCAGTTTGATTATGAACATGAATCATGTGATACAACCACCTTGCAATAAATCATCAGAGGAATTTTGTTGATCCTACTACTCGGACTATACAGTGTCTATGGGGTTATCTTAAGCAAATAATTGCACAGAATGCAAGAGGAACAATACCCAACGCTACCTAGCCATTTTACTGAATTATTACGGTGACCTTTTAACAAAGGGGATAAATTTCTGACCATGCTGAGAGATACCAGGACAGTGTTTGTGTGAATAAAATATAGGGATGGGTATTTGCCTAAAGAAAGTTGTATGGATAAACACATTAAAAGTTGCAGAATATCCTTTAGACGTAATAATGAAATCTTTCTTTCTTTCATTTTAAGCTTTACAATTAATTTACTTATTGTTAAAGCAATATCCAACTGCACTGCTCCAGGGAAGCCTAAGGAATCGATCCTTTAGGGTTCAGATTCTTTTCCCCTTATTTTCTTGTGGTTTGACAAAGGCTCTGTTCTGAAGTACAATCAGTAAATATAGTCCATCAGCCACTGTTGATAGCGCAGCAGTATTTTGGTATTTCTGGCTTATTTCCCTCATGTTTTTGTGCTTCTGATGTACATGTCCTTGAGGCAGTCACTACCTGGTTATCAAGGTGCAAAGGTGTACAACTCATATTGCTGTATAGATAGAGACACACTTAACTTGCTTTTTGTTTGTACTTATTGTTAGATCTACATTATAGCAGTACCTTTAAATGTTACTTTCATATGCAAATTAATTTTGCTGAATTAGAAATTGTAAATAAAACTGCTGTAATAATTTTAAATAAAATCTATATCTGTAAATAAGTCTTTAACAAAACATGAAAGAAAAGTGACACAAGGGACTTTTTTCCTAGAAAATGAGAAAATGTGTATTTTTGTGGTGCTGTGCGCAATAAAATCGCATTTTTTTAGATTAGGGATTCCGTTTATTTTACACAGAAAACAAATATAAATTTGATTTTTTTCCCCTTCGCATTATTATTATTATTGTCAATCATGTTTTGACAAATATCTGCAAGGGAATAAGGCATGCAAAGAAAAAAAAATCCGCTAGAAATAATCTCTAATTTTAGTGAAAGAGAAAAGGAAAAAAATATGAATTTGAGAAGTAACAAGGATACAGAAAAACAGCGCAGAAAACATAACCAAACATTATTGAAATAAATTTTCAATTAAACCATGATCAAGAAAAATTAAATTTTAAAATTATAGTTATAATTATATTATAAACTTACACGCAATATAGCCCCACACACGTGTAACACCAAGTTAAAAAAGGGTGTTTTCATTACATTAAATATAAATATGGTATACACATTCACTCTCATTTTGCTAAAATAAATTCTACCCAGTCAGCTGTTTTCAGATCATGTATTTGGTACGCATGCCATCTGAGTTTGAGACCACCGTCTTACACTATTTATTTTCCTTAAGTTGCAGGTTATCCTCTCTTGGTCGGAAAGGAAAATATTCTCTTTACAGAGGATGTGATGCATTATATAAATTTATCAAGCTATTTTTGTCTGAAAATGTATTCAGATCACGAAGACATATGATTATCCCACAGTGCATGGTAAAATTTGAAATGTTAGAATTCCAGTAGAAAATGGGATGGAATCCTATGGTATAAATATTTAATCAGTTACTTCCATACCTGTAGGGACATAAATATATATTTATGATATAAATTGACACAGCGATATATAAAATCACTAAAACTAAGAAGTATATTTCAAAAATAGTAGACGGAAATAAGAAAAAAGGTCATCATACTTCAGCATGTCCAAATTCATTTCCTCCTTTCATATCAAACAATGTTTTATCCAAAGCCGATAATCCAACATAAGAAGCCGGTCTTCCTACGACTACAACTTCCACCGTTTCTCCTGTTTTGTCTTTTTTGTTGTTCAGCACCACAGTAAACTGAAAATTATATATAATAATTTTATTCTCATGCAGATATATGTCTATATTATAATAAACATAGAATATATGCATATATAAATTATATTTATTAATAATCTCAAATTACTGTATTTATATCAGCTTCAGACTTATTTCAATAAGCAAAACCACTGATATTAGTAAAGCCTATTATGTATTGCATATTATATAACTATAGCCACAGAAGCAGGTACGCATAAATTGTTCAAAATTACAGATGTATATAAAAATGTTAAACACAGCAGACGCCGTATCATTTAGATACCTGTTTGTAGTTGAAAACATAGAAAATACATTGCTTATAATAATGTAATAAATTAGAACAATTTTTTTAAAACTGAAGCAAAGTCGTCTAATAAGAGATGAAGTCACCAAATAAAGTCAAAATGCATTATAAAAATTGCCAAGTGACAGAGAAATGGCTCCAAGAATTTTGTCCTTGCGTTGATATTACAGTAGATTAGTGCAGACCCGAACACGTCTGTCCTTATCTGCTTGAGTCGGCTGATGCGGCACCCAGCGATTGAATTTGTACGTCAAGTTTATGCGATGCATAGCGCGACTAATGGACATGGCACTAACATCTAACGCTTTAGCAAGCTCTCGAATGGGTGCATACTGATCTTCTTCCACAAGTTTTCGTAGGCGGTTTCATCAACATCAATAAGCCGACCAGAAAGCTCTGTTTCTTGAATGCCATGGTCCTTGTTTTCGAACTTTCGTTACCAAGACTTCACAGTGTCACATGATACAACATTGATTCACATGATACTAAAATTGTGTCACATGATACTAAAATTTATTTGGTGACATTCTTCAGCTGATTTTTTTGCAGCAGAATTGGAAGTAAATGACGGTTCTAATCTGGCAGTGTGACAGTTCCATTTCAGACACCTTGTACTTAATGATAAAGTTTTTTTTTTTTTTTTTTTTTTTTTTTTTTTACAAATTTCACAACAGAGTGCTCTAAAGCAAGTCTCTTTCTTTCAAATGACAAAAATCGTTTGACAAAATATGATTAAACACGCCAACGCGAACTGCTTGCGCAGACCATATTTGTGGTGGCAGAAAACTTTCCTTAAAATAGGATAAACTTTCTAGAATATTTCATAACAATCAATTGCACACACATATATGTATGTTCTCTGTTACTAAATACTTCTTGTGATTTACATATATAGTTGCTTAAGAAAGGATGTAGTCATTAAAATTTAGATTATCAGCTATAAAATACCCTAATAGTAATATGTTTTTAAATGCTTAATCCCCTCCCCGAAAAAAAAAAAAAATAGAAAAAGGAATATTTCAAAATCCTGTGTAAAATTACAGGATTAAAAATGTTTAGTTTTCATCATAGAGATATACTTCACACAATATAGAAATATGGTTTTCAACAGCTTCAGTCGGAAGACATAAAAATAAAAACTAAATAAATATTTACCAAAGCATTTGAAATAATTCTGTGCCAAGCCTTTTTAAGAAATTTTCAAACAATTCTTTACATGAGCATTTAATAAAATATTAACTCCATTTGATTTCTAAACTTTCTATCCATTTACCATAGAAGTAAAAAGCAGTACTTAATGTAAGAAATTGAATGAAAATTCCTAAAAATACAAATCAAGACCTCCTTCCTCGCAAAAATAGTTTTCTTTTGATTTATTTCTTGAAAATTTAAGGTCATAAATCTAATTAAAATTTTATAAAATGCAACATACATTACAACTATGATGTAGTTTTCAGTAAACTAAAATCTAAGACATAAGAATAGTGCTAAACGTGTCTAAATATAACAAATGGAGAGAAAGAAATTACATTATTTCTGGAGATTCCATCGACAGGAAAGGTCAAACTATCCACTACAACTTCTCCTTCTCTGGCAACATTGTAAATGACAACAGTTGATGTCGGAGCCATTTCAGGTGACAGAGAAATTGCAAATGTTTTGATGCTGGATGTCATAGTTTCTTGACCAGCAAGCAAAATTATTCCTTTAGACACGAGCTGAAAAATTATTTATTATTATTATTATTATTATTATTATTGCATAATAAAAGCATTCTCGTTATACATTGATTTCTAACAGCCATTAAAAACATCTTTGCACTTAATTGCATTGCTTGATAAGTACTCGTAATTCTAAATTTTGGCGGAGAAATCTTAACTGCAAAACGGTTTCTATTTTTACTTGACAGAGTACCCATGTGAAAATTTCCTCTATAAGTAAGATAAGAGAAAATATTTCTTAAATTAAACACAGCTATTATTTAAAATGTATTTATTTTTTATGAAATATTTTTTCTAATCAAAATGATATTAAAAGTTTTATTAGAAAAAAAAATTACATCTGTTTTGAAGATTTGTATCCTTTCCCTCTATGCCATTAATCATTTCAAAGTTTATACAAGCTTAAACAATTTTATTCAAAAATGAAAATTTAATTCTTTCTTTTTACCCCCCCCCCAAAAAAAAATTCTGTTAATTTTATAATGCTTTTAAATAGTCAAATGCTTCTATATTAGCTTTTGTAGAATATTCACGTGGGAAAGCTTGTTTAGATTTATAGTCTATTTTTCTATAACCTGAAACAGTTATTTTCACCAGAGCTCTATTAATGCTTTACGCATTATATAATATTCTATATAACAGAACCTTTAGGAATTGTGTACAAATTTTTTAGCATCTCTGTACAAATATGTATAGAATATCTATACGTATCTCTGTAACAATATCAATACATAACTCTACAGACGCTATACTTAAATTTTATAGAATTTGATAGAAGATCTCGGATTGAGATTATGGAAAATACTGCCTTAATTCTAACTATGAAGAAGTTTGATATCGGACTTTTTGTACTGAACTTTTGTACTGTTTTTGTACTGTTTGAGGGTATGAACATGATACAATTGTTATTTTATATAATATTAAATTTATTAATTAATAATTATAATTATCAATAATATTAATAATTTTAAACAACTAAAAGCACAGAAACTTTCTTTAATGATTAAACAGCTTTTCAATATAAGCAACTGACTTCACTTTTATCCAAAAGATAAAATCAAACTTTGCACATTTGACCAAAGTTTATATTGTGCGAACTCCGATAAGTAAGTAATGAGACTAGGATCTTGCTTGAACTCAAAGTGGGGCTACTTATATATAGATCCTTAAAGCAAATGAGAGGTTCAAAAGCAAGTTGGAGATATTTCTTTCTGCAGTTCAGATATTCCTCTGCATAGAACATTACAATACTCCCTGCCCAGCGAAAAAACGCATATTATGAAAATGCAAAAATGGAGCTCAAGTAATCCCTTTGGCACTGATTGCAAGAATAATATATACAAGACCAGAGAATGTAAAAACTGTAACACAATACATTTTAACTCCATTCCACAAGATTTTAACTCCATTCCACAAGATAGCATAATTAATGATATCATTTATGATGACTGGAAAAAGATGCGGAAAATTATGCACGAATCATATAAATGTGAGCCAAACCGAATCATATGAATGTGACTTTAGGAGTTCGAGGTTTGGCTTCATGAGGGAAGGTCGTGCTTTCTTGACACTCAGACTAGTTTAACCACGATAATTTTCTTACGCCCTCGTCGTGTTATACAAGAAGATAAATCTGCCTCATGCGAGGTCGATTGTTCGGCACTTAGCACATACTAACACAGAACATCTTCCTGATAGACTGAATGATATTGCTAGGTTTCAGCGTAAGGTTCTGTCAGGCCATCTGCTTGACATTCGTCTCCACCGTGAAGAACAGAACTTTATTGATTATTTGAAAGTGATGGACATTGATATTCGTCCCTTCAGAGATCCCGAACGACTCGATCGTTCTGCATTCTCGTCTGATGAGGATTTTTCACCAAATCTTGGAAAAATAGGACATCTACGCCTTGAGATGCTGATAGCGATACTGCCAGTATTGCTACATCAAAATCTGATGACGCCGCATGGATTACACCTTCCAAAGTCGCTAAGAAATCGCTGGTTCAGAATGTTCCGCCTGTGCCAGTTGAAATTCCTGTTAAAACTGTTACCTCTCCCAATGTAATTTCTACTAAAAATAGTTTGAAGCCTCGGAAGCAGAATAATATGAACTGTAACGAGGTTCCGAGCAATTATGAAATTCACACAGATGCCGTTTTAGACACTGTGTCTGAACTTAGGAAAACTAGATTACCTTCGATCACTTGCCCTAGTCCGGATGTTAAATGGAATGAAATTAGGACTTTGTTCTCCAAGCATCGTGTATCTGGATACACTGGTGTGCTGTCAAGAGGCAACATTTTCTATTTTATTTGATGCACATACCGTGACCGTGCACTTGCAAGCTTCATGAAAAATGAAATTCAATTTAGTACATTTATAGAGACATTAGGTATATTTTTGGAAGCAGGCAAGATGAAAAATGAGCAAACGCTTTCTCCGAGTATCGAACCACGGACCTCTGGAATACCAGCCCAGCATGCTGGCCATTACAACACGAAGGCATACCAAGAAGGCGGGAGAAATACCTTATATACTCCCCCTTTTAAAGGATGACTGGGGTTTTTAGGGTACCCAATCGCCAAATCCTGGGTGAGGAGAATCATCATCCGACACACTTTTAGTTCGGGCGCCACTGTAGAGACATTACATATATTTTTGGAAGCAGCCAAGGTGAAAAATGAGCAAAGGCCTTCGCCGAGTATCGAACTACGGACATCTGGAATACCGGCCCCGCGTGCTGGCCATTACACCACGAAGACATGCCAAAAAGGCGGGAGAAATACCCTATACATTCAGACCATGATACAATTCAATGACTTATTCTGATATTACACGTCACAACAAATGGAGTTAGAAACTCATTTTTGTAAATAAAATAAATGAACAAATAAGTAAAATAAAAACAATATCAGTAGCTTTAAACTTTTAATCCAAATACTTTTAGTGAGGGAAACTTACCACATACGAAAATGATTCGACATAGTAATTAGCTCGTACATGAAAGATGATATATTCACCGACCTGAAATAAATATGCTTTATTAGCTCAAGTATATATACACGTCAAAAATATATATTCATTAAAACGTAAAAATTAAAAATAAATTAAAATCTACAATTAAATATGATTACCTTGGGAGTTCGAGTACTTGTTGTCACCTGCAAGAACCTGTTTGTGGAAGAATAAGCAGCATAAATTCTCAGCTGGGCCCTAGCGGATTCGGACGTGACTTCATCTCGATAATAGGTCTAAATTTTTAAATAATTATATATAATAATAAGTATCCATTTATTTATTATAATATATTATTATGTATTTCTTCATTCTAGCCATCAGAATGAAATTCAAATACAAATAATTTGTAATAACACAGATTTAATTTATAATACTATAATTTAAAATACTATAGTATATAAATTAATAAGTATATAAATTAATATCTATATCATAATATAACCTAAAATATAAAATATTACAAATCATTGGAGTTAAAAAAAGATTACATAGTATCAGATTTAAAAAGAGCTTAACTTTTAAAACCGAAGTGCCAGAACCCTGAGCAAAAGCACACAATTAAAATGACATGAAATGTAAAGTGATATACAATAAATGAATAATAGAGTTAATGACAAGTAGTAATTGTATTAAAATACCAAATCTCCTCTTGTTTAGGATTTCAACTGGAACTATAACTTCAATAAACAAATGAGAAGTATTGGAGCTGGGCTCCAGAGGGCTAAATTTAAGATACTAATAATTAATTCTTATAAGGGGAACATATGACTTCAAATCTACAGTTTTCACTAAGACTCTAAACTAAGATTCGTTTCACTAAGACTTCCTTTTGTTTCTTCTTTTTTTAAAGCTCGAAAGGGCTATTAGTCTCAAAGCATGATTTTGCATTGATTCACTTTAAATGTCATCTACTGTCAATGAGTCATTTCACTTTTCATTCGAGTTTGTTGCCATTCGGTAAAATGTAAGAGAGTTGTTTTTCCAATTGAATCTGTCTGTTATGGATGAACAGCAATGGATACCATTCTTGAGATTATTATTATTTTTTAAAATTTTAATCGTGCTGATTGAATTAAAATGCATTTAATTCATGATGTAGATAATTTAAAACCTTCAATATTTTTAGAAAAATGACATTCTATATTTTTTCATTTTTAAAATATACAGAAGATATAGAATATTCCCATGTTAGTCTAAATGTATCTTCATCTTTCTTTCTTTACTTTTTTTTTGTGCTTTTTTTTTACTTTTTATTATTTATTTATTTATTTCTGTGCGTGTATGGGCGTTATTTCTTAAAAAAACTTTTCTCATAAAAAAATATATGCATTATTGGAACAGATAAAGCACCAAGAATCAGCATAATATTCATAAATTTGTAGTAGTAGTAGATTTAAAGGTTTAATATAAACCTTCTTCTTTTTAGCTTCAGAACTGGAGGGGGAAAAAAGCATCCATCAGAACATAACTTGCCTTTAGTATACTATACTAGTCAAAAGCTCGCACAAGTAGAATTCTGTCAACTACAATTAAAAATAAAACATTGCAGCTGTTTTTTTGACTGGAGTTTTGTACAACACATCTTCTTATTTGTGAATTTCTGTATTTATCTTTCTCCTTTGCATTTATTTTGGATTTAATATAACAGCCATTCTTTTCATGAAGCTGTATATATTATTTGGATTGCATTTCTATCTCTAGCAGGAATTCGTGTCAACATTTATGGTCGGTGCCACGTGGTATCTTGCTAATAGAAAAGTAGTTAAATATTTTATGCTACATTATTTACCGCTACATTAAGTTTTAACCATCTATTGTCTAAAAAACCCTCTAAATTTTTTTTAATGTAGAGAGGCATACAGGTAATGGACTATATTGTTGCGTGGATACGGGTTCGTAATAGATTGAACGCACACAGTTATGATGAGAGGTTAGTAAGAATTTATTTTAACAAAACAAATACTTCAGAGTTCTAGAATTTTCCGCAGAATACTTGTACAAAAGTTCACAGTATCACAGAGTACAATCAGTAGTTAGGTATCAAACTACTAAGAACGTTAAACACAATGGCAAAGCGCATCCAAAGGGAAAGCTAACTCGGATATTTCAACTCACGGGGAACTAACAGCTGGCAACAACAATAACTAAGCAGCTGGTGAGCAGATGCTCTCTCTTCTTAAATAGTTTACAACCGGGAGCCGAGATATTTCTAGTACTTTCTACTTTCTGCTTCTCGAAATTAATGGAAAGCAATACAAGGGTGGAAATTACGGTTACAGATAACATAGTGGTCAATTACATTTACTCAATTTCTGTACATATTACGGTAATACAGGGACCAAACGGAAATGGTAGCCAAATTTTGCGACTTTTGGTCATTTCTCGCCAAAATTGACGACAAATGTTGTCAGCTTGGCGATATCTCGCCAAATTACCGAGATACCTGTTTACTAAATGTTAAATGCACTTGCCCCTGTATTCTTACTTTTTCGGCATAGCTTCTCTTTAAATTTTCCATGATACAAAAGAAATACAACATGATTACTTAAAATTAGACTAGAATTACCTATCTAAGTGGAAAATTCGTAACACTATATGTATATATTTATATATATTCCAAGTTTTTTTCAATGAAAAAAAAAATAAAAAATGTTTCTATATAATTAAAGTATTCATTTACCTCTAAAGTCAGCATTTTTATGTCTCTTAAAGTTTCTTTAGAAGGAAACTCTGCCTGCAGATCAATATCTATTTCCCATATACCAGGATTTAAAGAAGACATCTTTTCGGATCGAGTGTTCAAGCGTCGAGATCCACCATTACGAAATTCCACAGTAGGAGTAACTTCAATTTTTTTCTTTATTAAACGCTCGGGAGGCAATGCAGATCCATCCTGATAAAAAACTGCAACCTGTATATAAATTTAAAAAGTCAGTATTAAGGTTGTGCACTATATGAATATATACAATTGTATCAAAAATAGTTTTCTAACAGATGGTTGAATGCTCAGTCACTTGAAAAAGGAATCATTTTTATCAGTTTGCATGCCAGAGGACACCGTTCTGTGAACACTAGGAGCAGTTCATTTGGTTTTCTTCTGACCAAGTTCAATCGTATCCGTAATTTGTTCAAAGACAGTTGGAACAAACAGCAAACGTGAAACTCTGTGTGAAAGTGAGAAAAATCTGCCACAAATATATTTGACATGATTTGTAAAACCTTCATCACTGTAACTGAATTATGTTAGACAGGTTTACAGTTTAGCCATCTCCACGCTTGTCCTATTTTCCCGCATTCATGGTACTCTGCATTGAGAATTCATCCCATTCATCCATCATCTTTCAGTAGTGAGATTTACTGCCATGTTGTAAGGCATCTGAAAGGGTGAAAAATGAGGTGAAAGTGACTGAATCTGTAGCACACGAAAAACTCGATGCTTAACGACAGCGCCCGAGATATCTCGGGAATGCCTGTAAAATCGCGTGGCAACTGACACTCTGCCATGCACATGTTTTCTTAGCTGTGGGTGGTGTGCAAGCGGCTTTTGTGATTGGTTCCTCCATGACCCTGAGCTGCAGTCGGCCCAGGCAAACTCGACGAGTTTCGCAAAAATGGGTACCCGTGTGAAGTCGCTATCCCGGCGTAATGCTTCCGACTTTCGAACTTTTGTAGTTTCGAACAGTTTATGGTACATGTCGATGCAAATGAAAGTTCAGAGCAGTGATAAAACTGGGAGAGTACGTAAAAGAGTCCAACGGAAACACCTCTGCAGTGCAGGCCATGACGAAGGTAAGTGCGCATGATAAGCAAATGGCACGGAGAGAGAAAATCAAAAAAGTGTCTAAAGCTCACTGAATATGAAAGTCCTCGTGTGTGTAGTTAACATAATAATAGTACGTAACATAAAGTAGCATTGAATATAAAACATAGTGAAAAGTAAAATAAAATAAAATAAAATATATACAATATATACAGGTGAATCATTTACAGCAAAGACAGCAACACCAGAAACCTATCAGTATGAGATGGTGTATGGATATATTTAATTTGTGACAATTAGGTGAATGCATAAGTTAAAAAGATAGTTACTGATCGAGGCACCTAAGGACCGCAAGCGGTCGTTTTCTGTTTCTTTCAGTATTATAGTCGTAATTAAGCACTGGAATAGTGCTGTTGTTAACATTTGGAATATTTTTGTAGAATTTTTCAGCAATGTTAGCAAAATGAACAAATAACGTTGGCATCTCAAGCTCTTGGTGAAAACCATCGACAGTTCGCCGCGTTTCTAAGTAAAATATTTTGCAGTGTTTGAAGTTTCTTAAACTGTAGAGTTCTTGCAGTTTTGTGATACTAGCGTATCCCCAAACAGGACAGGCATATGAGAGTATGGGATGCAAAAGAGTCTTGTAAATGAGCAATTTGTTATCAATAGAGAGAACTGAGTTCCGGCCAATTAAGGGGGTGAGTGTTCGTTTACGGGCATGGAAATTGGCAATAATCTGTGTAATGTGTGGGGTCTAGGTGAGTCGCCTATCCAAAGTAATTCCAAGGTATCGGGCATGCTTAGGTATCGGGCATTGAAAGGTATCGGGCATGCATGACCAAGAACGTCATACATATGAATGCAGTCTTCTGAGTGCCGATGGTTGAGTCCTTTTGGTGAACCAGATAGCCTTTGACTTGTCCACATTGATCTTGAACTTCCAGGCAGTAAGCCAGGACTCGAGTGTGTGGATATGTGATTGGAGTGCTTGTATAACGGGCCAGGAGATGCATTTTTTGAGAGAATTGCCGTGTCATCGGCGTACATTGCCAGGGTGGTGTGTGGTGATTGTGGGATATCGTTCGTGTAGACATTATAGTAAATGGGCCCAAAGAGGCTCCCTTGCGGGATGCCAGCCTTGATAGAAAGTGGGGTAGAGTGTGAATTGTTTACACGAATGATAAAGTGTCTATCCTTAAGATAGGAATAGGTGATGGCTGTGATGTACTCTGGGAAACCCAGAGTGATGATTTTGTACATGAGGCCCTCAAGCCAAACCCTATCAAAGGCTTTAGCTACATCGAAGAAGATGGCACCCGTAGTTTGTCGGTCTTGGAGTCCTTGTGATATCATCTCAGTGACTCTGTGGAGCTGGTGAACTGTAGAGTGCTGAGCTGCAGTCGGCGACGTGGCCGCATTATATACGAACTGTAAATTCCGTTTTTTCGATTAGCTTACTAAAATCCCAGTTAGATCATGTCACACAATTGCTTAGCAAGTTCATGAATTAACTTCTAGTGTTAAAAAAGTTAAACTTGCTTTTATACGCTAATAACATAGTATCTTTCGGAATTTCTAATTTATTCTACGAGGTGTAGAGCCTAGTGCTCAGGCACCCTGGTGTAGCAAACACCGTTCCAAGGAGGAGGGATTTTTTGACTATGGGTAGGATCTTAGACCCAGGCACCCTGGTGTTACACTAAATTTTATCTCGTGCAAATTTGTTTTGTTAGTCGATACAGATTACAAGATTATCACGCTGTTGCAGACTGTGATGTGCCGCTATGTGATACACGATGTTTCAGACTGTAGCATACTGTCAATGACATTTATGGATCGTAAAATGTTATTTACATGACTTTTACTTTAGCTCTTATTACCTATTGTAACCTTGACTACAGTTTTGTATTACTTTTGGCTAGATTTTTTTTTTTTTTTTTTTTGACTACTTCATTGAAGCCCGAGTTAACACGGATAATGTCATGAACCATAATAAATATCTTGTTTCTTAATCGAAAAAAAAATGTTTCTTTCTTTTTTTCCCGCCTTACAAAGCTACATCTAGTGAGCTATATCTGTAGATAATAAAAATGTTTTAAAAAAAATCAGGAATTTTCGGCATAATTTGTAACATAAATTCGGTCATTAAGCGGTTAAACAGGAGAAAGGTTCAAGTATGACAACGCCCTCTGTCTGCAGGCTGTCTTCACACATGAATTTTTTACTGGAACACAACATGATCTCACTTTCACATGTACCTCACTCACTAGATTTGGTTCTTTTGGGGTTTGCACTTTTCCAAAAGAAAAAGACCTAATTCAAAGGTTGCATAACTTGCATTTTGGCATAACTGCAAAAATTCTGAAAGGGGATCGCAGAAGGCTTTTGACTTGTTTCTAAAAGAAGATTTCCATGACAAATTCAGGAAGTGACAGGAACATTGTACAAGATGATTATATTAAAGGTAATAATTTGGAAACACGGATAAATAAAGAACTTTTTATGAACAGAACAAGTATCAAAGCCTTTTGATACCACTTCGTATAGTTTCAGCAAGACATGAATTAAAATACAAAAAGTATGCCTTGATAAACTGAAGTGATCTATGGTTGATGCTCATGAATGGATGAAATGAAAAGTAATTCCAACAATAAAATTATTTACATGAATGATCATGAACGCGGAGTGATGTTAGTTACATAAAATACTGGTTTCTTCTGAAAAAAAATGTCAAGGCACTTTACAAGTGTATTTCTAAAAAAATTTAAAAATTACTTTAAGAAACCTCCCCAAAATAACTTTTGAATTGAGTTTTCAGATCGTTGTTGAACTGATAATGGTATTATAGCACAAGACAACAAAATTTAACCTTGAATTCAAATTAAATTTACAGGGTTTTTTTCCGAAATCGGCATTTGAAAATAAGCTTTATTCCCCCCCCCCATTACACGCAGTTTTATTGCAAATTATGTTAATTCTTTCTTGAGTGCTGTATACACAAAACGTATTGAGCTAAAAAATTAAAAACACATAAAATGACACGAATATAAAATATTAGGTATGCATAAGCAGAAAATATATGCTAAAGTATAAAATACTACAAATATTTACAAAAGATTTTAAATACATCTGCAATGCAATATTAAATATTGCATAACTGTATAAATCAAAGTTTCATAATCATTTGAATTTTATATATCCAAATACAACAACATCAATTATAATTTTTTTTATCCAAAATTTAATAATGACATTTCCTTAAAGCAGTTCAAGTTTCTTTTTCAGCTTCATAACACATTCAAAGTTTTCATTTGTCATTAATTGCAACAATCAGTACCTACGAACTCCAACTTGCGTGAATAATCTTGACATTAAAAGTCAATACAAATTATAACAAATGTTAGTATGACTCACTATTTACATGGCATTTCATTTCTGTGACAGTTAGTGATATATGACACAGTCTTCACAATACATTTTTTGGACAAAATGTCAAGTAATAGAACAACATTTCATTGAAAACAGTCAGATGTAATGCTAGATAAATAATATATTACATAACCCATTTGAAATTTGAATCAGAAACTATCACAAATCCTTGGAACGATTTTCAAAAAATAAAAGATAATTTTTATATTATCTTCACTACTATGCATTTTAAACTAGTTTCAGAAAAAGAATTTCTAACATACAAACTTCAAGAATAATTTAGATTAAAAAATATATCGGATTACATGGAATATTAGAATTACTAAATTACATGATGAGTGTCAGTTTACTAAATATTTAGCTGGTAAAAATCATACATATAAAATGTATGAATATCACAAAGAAAATTTAGTTTAATAAACAAAACAGCACTCTTAAATATTTTCTCCTTTTATATAAAATCTAGGTAAATATAAATTCTATACAGAATACCTGCTTTAGACTGACATGAATCCTTATAGCACTTTTTATAAATTTAAAATCCAAGATCTGCAATCATCGAAATTTCAGCTATTCCAGAAATTTCAAATTTAGATAATCAAGTTTAAATCTAATAAGATGACATGCAGAAATTATAAAATTTAAAATATGAAACAGTTCCTTATGAGATAATAAAGTATTTATGGTTTTTAGAGATTGAACATTTATTAAAAAATCTCGATATTTATTTGTCTGTTTTATTAAAAAATTTTTTCAATTCTTTCTCATACATATGTCTTCAAGCTGTTTCATTTTCGGTGCTAATATTTTCGCTTAAATTTTACAGATAGCCATAATTTCTTGTTCATTTGTTAAGTTCCATTGTTCACGTCCTGTAATTGCAATATCAACAATTTCCACTAAACTGTTAATTGAAATCTTTTCGTTCTCAAACACCTCTTTGTCACTTGTTTCACTACCAGTAATGATATTATCCCCATTAAGAACCAGATGTATTACCTGAAACAGATTTCTCCATCCATTAATAGACTCCTGATTAGAGAACAGTCATCACAATGGAAAATTTCTGTCACATCCTATTAATTTATTTCAATATTTCTTAATAAATTCCATATTAATTGGAAAGTTTATCTTCTACAGCATTTAAAATCTACACGAAAATAAGTTTGCAGTTTTGATTAATTTTTGAATTACACTTTCTTAAGCCTGACTTGTGCCAACACCATTTTACTCCAGCTAAGGCTACTATAGAAGGCAAGTATCAAATCTACTTTCACTTTGCTGATCCTGCTACAGCTCCAGAGTTATACACTGTTTTTCACATGACCGAAAATTCAAACTTTGATATTGATCAGAAAACTGTAATAAAAACAATTTGCACGAAGTAATAAGCTGGAGTTAAAAGGAACAGCATAGTTTACTGTATTAACTGAAGTTCTTTGGAAAATTCTTTCTCTTCCCACCTGTTACTATGCAAAAAAAAAAAAAAAAAAAAAAAAAAAAAAGTATGAACAAAATTTCACTCCCCACAACTCCTTACAGCTTCATTTATTGCTTAGAATATCAGGACTTGTGTTTCTCTTGATTTGCTTTGCAAACATGAATGGTCCTGAATCGGAACAGGGAGCTTACTCAAGCTATGTTCAAGAAGGTGTGAAGTAGACAACACAAGCAGGAAGGGTATACGAAACCCTCTATTTTCAAATCTTTACAGAATCTTCCGAACTTCGGAATACAGAACCAACCACTTGTGTCTGAACGTAAGAATATAAAAACTACTAACTAAAACTCACTAAAACTTTGAATTAGTATACAAATGCCTAGCACTAAGTCTGGCCTTTATTTAAAAGGTAGTACGCCGAGCTGCTTAAACTACAGTACGTTTGCAACTATCAACAGGGCTAAACCTCTGGCCTTAAAGGCAACCAGCAACCGAGTGAAAACTCGTAAAACTACAGTGGCAAGCGGCTTGCTTCCTAAAAACTCCTTCTCTCTCCCGCTTGGCAAAAAGCCACAACACAACTTAAGTACTTACGCGTTAGCAAGACAATTTGCATAAACAAGTTAAAGCATTTAATTCAGGTCGGAAGTAGAAAATAAGAAGTGATAGTAAAGTTTTAAAATAAAATAAACGTTAGTAAAAGTTAGGATCCTTACAAGAACAGATAGAAAAAAGTTATCACGCTCTTCATAACTACACGAGGGCTGAAAGTGTGGTCATGGCTAATATCAATCCATGTGCTGCCACTGGCCAAGGTGTGATTCTCTAGCCAGCAGGTCCTTGAAAGCGACATAGAGAAATCTCAGTTAGACGGGAGAAAAATTCAGTTTTACCGCACATCTGCCACTTTTTTCTTTCAGAATTACAGTCTTCATTTCTAAACTTTGAAACAAACAAAAAAAAAGTGCTTGTGGTCTGGATAATGGATGTCCAGACTTAGTACTGTTTGCATTAAACTTTGTACTGTACACGTTTTTCATTGTAATAATTACAGTTTTCTTTAGATAAAACACGTTTAAATACATATTCTAAATTAATGACAGAACAAAAGTTATGATAACTTACATATACTTTATATGGCATACCAGGTTTGAAAATCTGAGGACTGGATCCAAGAAATTCCAACTTAATGCGTGAACTGAACACCATGGCTTGCGAGAAACCTTCTTCAATCAAATTCAAGTACCTTTCTCCAACATAAGCAGTTACTGTAATGATGGATTTATCCAATTGAGGTATAAGCTTCTCAAATTCTCTCATGGGGAATTTGAAATTCATAGTTCCATGAAACTAAATAAGAAGTTAAATTTAAAACATCTCTGAATAAAATATCAGCATAAATTGATACAATTAACATACTTATTATCTAACTATATAAAATAACATATTAAAACAACATATCCACGTACTTGTTCATTGACTTTAAAAATGCTTACATATTACGAGGATTAAAAAATGTAAAATCCGTTATGACATACCTATAAGTAAATGTTCTATATATTAAGCAGAAGTTTAAATTTTATTACTTGATTTTCTTTTAATTTTTCAATGTAAGATCTGATATTACGTTGGTAATGTCGCAACGCAAGAGCATTAAATTGTGCTCGAAGTATAAAAAGATATTTAAATTGTTTTTTTTTTCTGACAGGAGCAGATTAAAAGATAATTCTTAATTAACTAGGTTGTAGATTAAATAAACACTGTCTAAAAAAATCTGATGTGGACACCGCATGACTTCCTTGTACGGAATATTAAATTATACTAATTTTTTGCAGTTTAACTAATTTCATCGAATTTCATTAGAGATACATTTCTCATTCAATTAATTCAGTTCTCACTTCGCGGTAAAGCAAAAATGAATAAAACCTCAAAATATCTTCATGAAAAATATAGAAAAAAATAAAACACAAAATACAGTTATAACATTAAAAAAAAAAAAAAAAAAAAAAAAAAACAGATTTACCCCTAAAATTAGAGTTTCTACGCAAAAACAAGTAATTCGGCCACCAAGCAATAAGGCATAGTTTTCGGTGCTCAAAACTGAAAGTACTTTTGGTCCCACTCGGCAAAAAAACATTCAAGGTGCAAAAACTGACTTAATTCGCTATTTTGCTGTTTCAAATGTAAACAAATATGGCTGCTATGGTAAACTAAAATTAGGCTAAACCGCATTCAAACAACTTTTAAATTGTTGATAATTCTACAGCTAATGCTTGCAGATTAATTAAAGGCATAAAAAACTTACCAGACGATAAGCATAACATAAATCAATCATTTTTTAATCAAAAAGTGCAGAAATTATCAATTTATAAGAATAAAAAAAACTGAGCTCACAGAGCCGAATAACAGAGTGGGTATATATATATATATAATAAAAAATTTTTAAGGAACAGAAATTCAATTAAAACCATGAATTATGAATTATTAAAAAATATTTTGGGCAGTGTTTTAATTAGTAATTTAAATAGTATTTTCTAGACATATTGCTTTAAAAACATAAAAATTTGTAAAGAAAAATCCATAAACGCAAAAATACCAAACTCAAAAGTAAAAATTTTAAGTATTGAAAAAGTAGCAATTGATCAGAGATTAAGCGACTTATCAAGGGGAATAAACCAATCTATCATCAATTAACACTAAATAAATTAAGTGAGAGTGTTTTGTCTTTCTTCCAAGTAAGCATCAAATTATATTTCTGCCAGAGTCAAACCACAAGTCACGAATAGTGCTCAATCAAAATAAAGACATTAGTCCATTTAAGCCAAAAGAATCTTCACAAACAAAATAAATTCGTAAAGAAATCTTTTAAATTTCAGTTGTTTAGTAAGAACATAACTAAGCGGGATGCTTAGTTTAGAAGATATATTCTGAACTCTCTCATTTTCAAACCGAAATTCAAAAGCATGTATTTTTTAAACATAAAAAAGTATTTCAAAATCAAAAGAAGATCAAAATGACAAAATCTTAAATTAAAAAAAGTAGTTATCTTACAATGATCAAACCCAGGAAGAAAATTAAAATTAATTGAAAGAAATCTCTTCTAAATCCCTTTTAAACCAATTTTGTAACACGTTTCGGGAAAAAAACAGTCCTTTATTCTGTCCTTTCGTACAGATGTCACGCAAAAACATTGTTTAATTGCATTCGATAGCGGTCAAAAACGATATTTTCGTTGAAATATGACACCCAGATTTTTCGTGACTGCAATACTTCTTTTACTTCGTGTAAGGAAAAGAGAGAGAGAGTTACATTTGTTTATTGCTAATGAAAAAAAAAAAAAAAAAAAATACTGTCACAAACCACTATTTTTCATTTTACATTATCATCTTCAAATTAGATTTAAAAGATACTTGAATAATTATTTTCGTTTAGCTAAAAATCGTACAATTAAAGCTAAAATATTATTCAGAATATTTTCTACAGCTATTGCAAAATAGGTGATTGTGTTTACGCTATAGTTCAATTACAGTGTTAATACAACAAGGGCGTAGCTAGAGGGGGGGGCAAGGCGGAACATTTGTCCCTGAGCGCAGCATCCAGGGGGAGCCAAAAATGATGTTGTGAAATTTTAGAATTAAATATTTTCCGTCCTTAGGAAACAGGAGAGGGCGCGAATCTTCAGTTATTCCTGGGCGCTGAAAATCCTAGTTAGTACTATGTAACACAATTACCTACTTCTCAATATTCAACATTCAGAAGTACAAGTATTCAAAATTTTACATAGGTGGTTTAATTTTCTTTTTTTTGGGGGGGGGGAGACTGTAGAAATTAAAACAATTATTTTTCTTTTTAAATTTTTTTGAAACCGTTTTGTGTTGCATTACTTTTTGGGAAGAGTAGGAGAGAATACATAAAGATTTAATTTTTGCAAATTTAGTTTCATCACTCAAAAATGAATGACACAGACTGATTGCAATAAATAAAAGGAAAACTTTGCACAGATATTTTAAAAATAAAAAAAAAAAAAAAAAAAAAAAAAAAAAAAAAAAAAAAAAAATCCTAATGTGCACTTCAGTGCTGCACTTACCAGCCTATAATGCTGTTTGATTGTAGGAGGAATATTTCCGACTCGATAATTCATTTTCAATGGCTCTATAGAAGCAACTAATGTCAAATTTCCAGTAACAGGAACACCACTAGTATAGCTGAAAATATTACATTGAAATGAAACTAATGTAATGTAAAATATATTCTGTAACATAATAAGATTGCAAAATTCTCACTCAAGATGAATGACTTAAATGAAGCAATTGAAATTATATAAAACATTGATTATTTTGAAGGAAATGTGTTTCTCAAATATTTCTCGCCTATATCATTTAATCATCTATAAAATTAATAATAAAACAAAAGCTACAAAATTAACTCTCTAACAAAAACTGTATTATAATTTGCCAAGATTTACTTAATTTGAGCCATACTTTACGAAGCATATTTACATATCGTATGCCCTATCCTGTTAAACTTTTTGTGCGGGGGTGCCAAACACTGAGTGCGGTCTGCAAAAATTTATTACTTAGGAGGAGGTTGATTGTAAGACAGCATCTTTCTTACGTCGTCATTTTGCATTCGACAGACTTATCAGAAAACTTCGCTTTTTCTTGCGGTATCCAAAAACCTTCACCTTCGTGAGTCTCATCATTATCATGAAATTCTCATTATTATGCCAAACATTTTTAAAAATATCTGCAGACACATACCCCCGATGATCTTGCAATGTCCCACGTGTCAGATTTTATATTTTACTGTTGTGTCGGTTTATAAAATGCTAATTTATATCTGCATTTGAGCTAGCCTAAAATTCCGATATCCACTGGCGATCGACAGGTATACAATTTCAGGGAAAAAGTAAAATGGAAATATTATTATTTTTTTAAACTCTAATATTGATAATTTGATTGTTATTGTGCACAGTGTCATTCCCTAGCCAGCAGGTGTTTCAAAGTGACACATAAGAATTTCAGTTAGTGTGTGGGGGGGGATGCCACACCTACTCTTTCCGGCATATTATTTTCTCCATTTCATGAATACTGTATATTTTGTGAGAGAAAATAATTCCCCCCCCCAAAAAAAAGAACTGAAAGGTTTCAGATTTTAAATTACGTCCAAAGGGGCAATTTTTTTAACGTTTTGTGTGTTAATTTCATTTATTAAATATCAGGTCCTTCGCACTTAAACCATAAAATTCAATTCAAGAGCAATATCGCAAAATAGTTTAAATGGAGCACATCTTTAGAATTTCCGATACAGAGTCTCGCGCGCTAGAGATGAAACTGTTTTTTTCTGTACAACGCTGCCATTGCTCGCTTTGAAATTCTTAGAGTTTGTTAACCAAAAATTCGTTAAAGTTTTACAAAATATAATGGATATAAAATTCCAAATTTCAAATTTGGGTTTCCACATGCCCATATTCGCAGCAGGATTACGTCATTCAAAATTCGATGACTCTATGTACCGTTGTTTTATCCCAATGCGAGAAATATGCATAAGAAATATGCATGCGGATTTTTTATTATTTAATTTCTTCAAATATAATGCAGGAGTTTGAAAAGTGAAACGGACATTTATAGTGAAGCAACGCACAATCGCAAAAAGAAAACAATACTCCTTCAGAGACAAAGCCCCTTTGGACTAAAATTCTAGTGGTCGGAGTCCAAATATAAATGTTCAGATTTCGACTTTATATATATAATATGTATATATGTTGGTGATGTACCAGCTTTTAGTCGTAGCTTAAATTATCAGATGATAAGTTTAAAAAAAAAAAAAAAAGATCCATTTATTATTATTCAGGCGAAATAGCAGTTACAAAATCAGATATGCGGAGTAAATAAAAAGAATTACTAATAACTTTTTGTATGAAGTTTACTGCATCGTAACATTTAAAAAAAAGCCCCCGATATTCCTTTTGCGAGTCTTTTTATAGCCTCTGGAAAGGCGGAGCTTCCAAAAATGACGTCAGCCAATCCAGTTCGCTTTAAAATATTTCGAGAACATTCTATAACTGTACGTGTACCAAAGGCGGGAAAAAAACAACAACTGACTACGGGGCTGTGGATTTTAATTCCGCGTACTTTCAAATAAGAGACCACGTCGCCATTAAAAATGAAAACATACAGATAGAATTTTAAAAGTGTATTCTTGATTATGGAATTTTATTATTACATATATATAAATAATGAACATATATTTGTAAATATTATCATCAGAAATACCAAAAATGTAAAGCATACATTGAATAAAGTTAGTGTTTTTCTTGTGTACTAACAAATTTTATGCTTAGTTTATATTACTAAGTTATTCAAATATCACTGTAAATACTTACTTTGCTTCAACAATTCCATACACATATTCCTCTATGTCAGTAAAGAAAGATGGCATGGTAACATTCACCTCAAAACGAGTTTGATCTGAAAAATAAAAGTTTGCATAATCTTTTAAGTGCAAATCAAGTAAACCTTTCCAAGAAATAAATCAGCTTGATCTGTATAAATTCTAATTAAAATATTTTGCAGAACTAATTATATACTTCACAGATAATGAATAACAGTACTTAATAATAGTAATAATAATACAATTAGTATAATAGCAATAATAATAATAGGCTGTTATAGAATAATGATTTCAAATCAATCATCACTTTATAATTTGCTTGATTACAGATTACATTCATTCAACATCAAATTATAACTAATTACATAATCTTATAAAATAAACATCATTAGCTTAATAAAAGAATTATTAAAAACCGTAGCTGATAAATATAAAATTTTGTGACCTTAATTGTCACGTGCATATGAATATTTAGATTTTTATGATTTAATTATTTTAAAATATTGAAACTTACAATATTCTTCCACTAAGAAATTCTGTTCTTCAATTTGGCCCTATAAAATGGGAAAAAAAAAAAAAAACTCATTTATTAAACATTAAATTGCAAATAAATATGTTATCATTACTTTCTTTCTTCCCAAATATATTACGAGTAATAGCACAGACTATACACCTATAGCACTGAAATGAATATTTTTGCTTCAGGTAGAAACCGATTTTAATATATTGCCACACATCAAGAGATGTTTAAAAGTTTTTAATTATGATGCAAAATAAACTGTCAATTTCTTGAACAAGTTGGTAACGCAGACATCCTAAATTGAATTAAGGTGAAAAATTACGTAAAATTTTGAAACGGGAAGCTAAAAATGATACAATTAGCATTTAAAATGATGAAAAAACTAATAGCGGCGAGTTAGGAAAAGTCGTTGAGCTGTTGAGTAAATCCCTTCCATAGTGGTAGAAGTTCTGTCTGGAAACATTCGAAGATCATTCGTTTTTCATTTGGTTCACACATGTTGCAATGCAAGTAAAATATGCCAAGGTGAAAAATAAATGCACTTTATTTTCTACACGAGTTTAATAAAATATTAAGAATTTGAGCCTTATGGTTCAATAAAACGCAATTTAAAATACTCATAATTATTATATTTGATCCTGATTTATGATGATGATTTTAAATTAGGCAAAAAGTTTGGCATAAATTTTGAATACAACTCTATATGTTTTGAGGGCAATTAGACACAGGTCCCTCTTCTTCGGGAGCATTTTTTTCTCTGTGAAGATCTACATAAGATTATTAATGAAACCTTACAAAATGTGAAAGTGTCAATAACTCAGTGCAATTATCTGCAATATTCAGATCAGCAGAATGGTAATGTTAATTTAGAATGGTAAATTATACTTCAGTGGTATTAGTAGAATGACAATTTATAAACATTTTTATTATATTTATTGATTTTAACAATACTTACTTTTTGCATATCACACTTGGTAGAAAAGAAAAGTTTTGTTAATAAACTAATCCCTCCCTCCCCCCTCAAAAAAAAAAAAAAAGAGAGAAAGAAACTAAAGACTTGGGGTGGGGCAAGATTCTTCCACTGCCCAATGTTCTCCTTACTATTCTTTAAATATATCACTTAAAATCAACAATCACAGATTTGGAATAATGATTATTTTACCTGAGCTATGACTTGCAAAGTCCATTTTCCATAAACTGGCTGTTGAGATAAAGGATATTCTAAGCTAACAGCCCCTAAAAGAAAGATGTAATTTTTTAAAACAACTTCAGGAACATTATTTCAGAGAGGGAAAAAAAAAAAAAAAAAAAAAAAAAAAAAAAAAACGGGGTAGAGTAGACTTTAAGGTACCTTTTGTATTATGGCAAAATTGTTGTTTGATTTATCGCCAAGTTGTTGTTTCATTTATGGTAGCCTGAGTAGTTGAATTTCATGGAAACCCTATTGTGACGTAATCGGGTGCATGATTCTGGGAAATTTTGAATCATGGGATGTTTGTAGCGTTTTTATGGTGTGTGTTTGGTTTGATTCTTTAGATGGTAGAATGGCCGAATGTATAAGATAATTTGAAGTTTCTGTATGATTTGGAGCGAAAAGGGGAAAAAGGCTTAATTGACTGTTAAGTTATTATTATATTATTCCTATTATAAGTATATGCTTATTAGTAAGGATATTGCGTTCTGAATGTAGGAAGGATATGCGTTTACGAACGTAAAAACCGTTTAGATGGATTTGAATGGGTTTGTAGGAGAAAGGTTCAGATGGTCACTATGAGAAGCGTTCGATCAGAAAGAGTACCTGGTTTGAAAAAAGCATTTGAGTATGATTGATATTTTGATTTTTACGTGGCTCTGGGTGTACGAAAGCGAATTCGAAAACATGTAGGTGAATATTTGCTTTTGGTATGCTTAAATGCATAACATGTTTTCCTTTTTTATGTAATTTTATTATTTGGTTTAAAATGTATTTTATTGAGATTATGTATTTTTTTATTTGCCTATATTGTAGAATTTGGTGCTCCTTTGACTTTTTTAAGTGAAAAATGTATCGATGTATACGTGGACATCAAGTATTTTAATATATAAAGGGAGTGCGCATGCAAGTTTGAGCATTTGGATTTTAAGTGAAAATAGTTTGACGTGTACATGGGTAAAGTTAAAAGAGTGCACAATGTAATTTTTGTGGAATTCAGGGATTTTTTTAAAGTGAAAATAGGTCGACGTGTACATGGATAAAATCAAAGGTGTGCACAATGCCATTTTTGTGCAATTCAGGGATTTTTTTTAAGTGAAAATAAGTCGATGTGTACATGGATACCGAGTTTGTGCAATTGTTTGTCTTGTTATTTTGGCTTTGTGTAGCGGCGATTTTTGGCTTCGCAAGCCAAAATAACGAGTCAAAGAATTGCACAAAATCGGTATCCATGTACCACCAAAAATCCCCAAGTTTCGCCAAGGAGTACCCTAAACTATACTTTTACCAAAAAACGTAACAATATATTTATATTTCATAACCCATGAATAAACAGAGCTCCCTTATTAAAAATTACTTTAGTAATGAAAAATTCCTGTAATATTCATATTATATAACATTATCATTCATATCAATTCATGCTAAATATTACAGTAAGATGGCATTCTTATTTGAAAAGCTTTAAAAGAGTAATTTTTGCATTTTTTCTCGTTACCTTTTTAACATCTTACTTCTTACCTTTACCTTAACATCTTACATCTTTTTTAAGATCATGAAAATTTGATTTTAAAAAGTACAAAACTGTTACACAAAATTCTAATCTTCACATCCAGGCTGGCTTATATGAGGGTGACCACAAGTGCAGGATTAGTGCATATCGTTAAATGGGAAAACAAAGTATTTTTTATGACTTTTATTATTTGCCTAAAATTTAGGGAAAAAAAATTGAACATATAATTTTTTAAAAAAATTAACGAATTTTTTAACCCTTATCAATTAAAAAACGAAATGATTTTACAAAATCTGAACATTTGAAATCAGTATAGTATCTCTGAAAATTGAGTATCGCACTAATTAAGTCATAATTACATACATTTTTAAGCTGGTGTGTAAAACTTAAGCAACAATGTAAAAATTTAGCAGATAGCCATGAAATTGCAGAAAAGGAGGTCTGGAGACCAATACAATGAACACATAAGTCAGTAGAAACGTCATGCGTATGCAAATATCAGGAACGAAACGTCAGAGGCGACGTGAGCGTACACAAAACGCGTAATGTCGGCGCGCGCAGCTTAACAGTAGAATAAAAGGAAGGACAGAGACGCAATTCAACATATTCGCTGCCAGTGCCAGTGAGTCAGTTCGTGAAATATAGCTAGAAGAAATCACCTGGACGACTTCACACGTGGAAGAATTATCGGAAAGCTGGAGGAGGAGCGTCCAGTGTAGCTGCAGAGTTCGGAATCAACAAAAGTGTCGTTTTCGCGCGCTTGGAAAGCGTTCCAAACCACAGGTAGCTGTTAGAAAAGTTGGCGGTCCGCCCGAGGACGACAACTGCAGGGCATGACCGATATATATCATCCTGCAGGCGAAAAGAGGACTACAGCATCAGCAAGCGCCATGCTAAACTCTTACAGCACGGGGCGACAAGTGTCGCGGTTTACTGTGGCCAACGCCTTCACAAAGGGGGCCTATTCGCCCGCCGCCCTACGCTGCCTCCCATGAAAGTTGCCACCGACGCCACCGTTTGTGCAGATAGCACAAAAACTGGACAACTGATCAATGGAGTCGTGTCCTCTTTACGGATAGATTCAGTTCAGTACCAGAAGCGATTCTCAACGCGTTTTTGATTTGGAGAGAGGTCGGGACCCGTTTTATCCCAGTAACATCAAGAAAGACACCGTAACGGTGGTCCTGGTTGCTTTGTCGGGAAGGCATTATGTTGAACGGGCGAACTTAGCTACACTTTTTCGACAGAGGGTCTGTAATGGTATCGCTATTATGAGGAGGTACTCCTTCCCCTGTGCGTCTGGTTACGAGGTGCCATTGGCCCAGACTTAATTTTTATGGATGACAATGCACGCCACATCGGACTCTTGCTGTGGGGAGCTGGAAAGCGAAGATATCACTCGAATGGATTGGCCAGCGTACTCCCCAGATTTAAATCTCATCGAACATGTGTGGGATGCTTTGGGTAGACGCATTGCAGGCCAATTACATCCTCCGGAGAACACCCAACAACTCAAACAGATGCTGATTGAGGAATGGGCACTCCTACCGCAAGAAATGTTGCACCAGCTAGTTCTGAGTATGTGGAGACGGTGCGAAAGAACCATTACAGTGAGGGAAGGGCATATCCCATATTAAGGAACATCCGCTTGTTGTTCTTCTTCTTGGATTGACAATCATGAGTCACGATACTATGAGTTTCAATAAAGCTTGTTTTTGTTTGATTCCATACCGTATGCATTGTATTCCTTTTTCAGCTCCGATGCTTTTGTCATCCTTTGCGTACAAAATACTCTCCTTCATTTCTGCATTTCATGTCTCTCAGTTGATTTCTCGTGGAGTTACGGCAAAAAAAACCTGCTGTTGCTTATGTTTTGCACACCAGTGTATGTTTGATGTAATTGAAGCAATTTTTTTCCTGCCTTTTTTCCCTACAAAAATTACGTTGGTAAAACTCTGATAAACGCCCTAATTTCACCAAATGTGGCGATATGTGTTTTGCGCTGGTTTTTGGCGCGATTGCGTGTTGTATGGCAACCATGTCGACGTTGAAAAATCTTTTGGTGGAGTAGTTTAATTGCTAGTTGGTTCGTGTCGCGTGTGTTTTGAAATGGCCTATTTGCGATGAAAGACGTGGTGGGAAGGTTTCAGCCGCGTATTTTAGATTGTGTGCAGAGTAAATTTAGTAAAAAGGTACGATGGAGGTAACGAGTCTTTGTTTCACGATGTATTTATGAGGATCGTAGTGTATTTTGGAATTTCTGTGGGAGTCGGGACTTTTAAACGGAGTTTGACGTGTCCGAAATGCGAAGCTGATATGAGAACTCGGACGAAAAATGGTGTTTCTGATAGACTTGTGTGGGTTTGCAGTCAAATTGTTGCTAATAAAGTATGTGGGTACAGCGGAGTTTAGGTTTGGATCTTGGTTTTCGTGTAGCAAGTTAACGTTGGAGGAATTTTTATTGTTACTTTCGAAATTTTGAATCGTAGGAAGGCATGTGATATAGCAAAATCGTGGAAGTTTTCTTCACAGACGTGGTGACTGGCGAAATTTTTTAAAGAATGTATTTTGGACTTTGTATGCTCTGTATCTGAGAAGATAGGGGGAAAGATCTTTCTGCTTTGAAAAGAAGCTTTCATTATGGTAAATGCATCTTATTTTATTGTTTTTATTTTGTAGAATGTATATTCATTGTTTTTTTTGTATGAATTTCTGTTTTTATTGTTGTTTTTTGAATTTTCTGAAATTTATTTAGTTTATTTGGTTAATATGTACACAATGCCTAGATTGTGGAATTCGTACATTTTTAAGTTTAAACAGAACGCTGTGTACATGGTATTCTTTGAAATTTATTGTTGTTATGTTAATTTATTAAAGCAAGGTGTTCGTAGTTCTAGATCCTTCGCTGCCGAGATTGTGCAATTCGCAGATGTTTTCTAAAGTTGAAAGATATCGATGTGTACATGGATTCTTGTCAAATATTTTTGGTTAGAAACTTTACGTTTTTGCTATCTAAATTTTTTGTTTTTGTTTCGGATTTTTGGCTTAAATCGTGTGTTTAAAACGTAGTTTTTGCATGTGCGAAAACCGTGTTTTTGGAGACATTTTAGGCTTAAAGTTCGAAATGTAAACAAAAAATTTAGATAGTAATATGGCAGCGTGAAGTTTCTCGCCAAAAATATTTGGCGAGAAATTTGGCGACTTAAGGGCGCATATCATAGTTCCATTACATTTTATTTGCTTGACTATAAACTAATAAAAAATTGCTCAGAATCTTTTCTGTTATAAGATAAATACGCACCAAACCATATTCTAGAGAGATATATAAATGTGGTAATATTATCTATTAGTTTACTCTTTAAGTAAGGTAAGCTCTCGTAAATTTGTTCTTGCCTTGAAATTAAGGACTTTTGTTGAAACGTTTCAAGAAATGTGCCATTCCATTTAGTTCTATGCTCATTGAAATAACAATCATACAAGGTACATTTCTTGTATTTAGAAAAAGCTTTTCCACAGTCAAAACGAACTTTTGACAAAAATATTGATGCGGGTTCGTAATACTGAATGCTCACAGTGTAGAGTCGTTAGGATATTTTGAAAGCTGGAGACTTGAAAAATGAGTAACGCCCTCGCCGGGATTCGAACCACGGATCTCTGGAATATGCGCGTAGCGTGCAGACCACTACACTACGAAGGCATGCCTAGAAGGTGAGAGAAATACCTTATAAGTTTTAAGATTTATTGACACTTAAAACTGTCCTTAAATTCTGTCCATATTTTTTTAATCTCTAAATTTGGATAGACGAGAAAACATTTTCTGATCATGTCTGATGTCACGAACAAAGACCCTATTTTCTGACAGCTAAATGGAATCTAATCGGAAAGAAACGGTGGAAGTGTAAGGTGGGGTATTGCTTTGATGTCAGCATGGAACCACGGACCTCTGGAATACGCGCCCAGCGTACAGACCACTACACTAAGAAGGCGTGCTTAGAAGGCGGGAGAAATACCTTATAACAGAGCCAATGACAGCTTGATAAGATTTATTTTAGAAAATGAAAAACTTCAGTTCTGGAATTTTCCACAAAAGTACTCGTACAGTTCTTCTCTCAGTACAACAGAGCATAATCAGTAGTTACCACTTCAAACTACTAATAACGTTAAACACAGTTCCATACAAAGAAGATCAAAGAGCGAAGCTCGGTCTACCAGGAGCCGAGCGGTAAACGCTGCTGAATACTGGTAGTTTGTTCCGGGGTTCGAGTCCCAGCAAACGGGCTGGCTGCATGGGCGTTTTCGTTATCTCCATGTGAACCATGGGTACGAGCCAGTTTCCCTTAAAACGACCTGCACGAGGCATCCCTCCCTTTCTGTGTAGTGCTGCACGTAATAAGTAAAAGACAGCGAAATTCGCACGATCTTTTCAATGCTCCGAAATCTGAACCCAAAAAGGGGGGCAGATGCTCTCTCCGGTCTTATGTAATAGTTTCGACTGTATATGAAAATTACCGCATATAGATATATATATTATAAAATCTTTCAATTTTTCACAAACCATATAGAAATAAGTTAATTAAAAAATAAGGTAATGTGCTAACTATTCCAGTTTGCTCCATGTTACTCACCTTGGTTAGTCTGCCTGGAAAGCCATCTACGTACAATTGTTCGATTCGGGTCTAACATATAAATATCGACGGCATCGGGGAAAGCTTTCAGATGTGTAGTGATGGGAAATGCTCTGAAACGAACTAAACAGAAAAGAAAATCGTGAGTAGTATTAAACTGAAAACACATTGCACATTAATTTTACGAATGACTATTTAAGTAATTTAATACCGCAATCCTGACATAAACATGAAAATATCTCATGTGGACACTACATGACTTCTTTCCACGGCCTGTTAAGTTGTACACATTTTTTGCTGCACTTCATTTAAACTTATTTCCTCGAATTTCATTCCATGTATATTTCTAATTCAATCAATTTAGTTCTCGCTTCGCGGCAAGGCGAAAACATAAAACCTCAATCTTCAGTAAAAACTGTAAAATACAGAAAAACCTAAAGCACCTGATACGGTTAAAAACAACAGGTAATACTGTGAAAATACATATCTTACATATAATATTTAAAAGACGTACACCAGATACGGTAAAACCTTTTTTTTTTTTTTTTATAATTAAAACAAGAGTTTCTACGACAAAACAAGCAATTTGGCCAACGGGTAGGAAGATAAAATTTTCGGTGGACGAAACTGAAAGTTAACATTTGGTCAGACTACGGAAAAAGATAATGAAGTCGTTGCACCAACTGACTTCATTGACTACTCTACTAAGAGTTTCAAATGTAAGCAAATGGCGGCCTCATTAGGCCTAGCGAGATTTAAACCTTTATATTATTGATAATTCTATAACTATTGCATGCAGATTAACTAAAGGCATAAAAATCTTAACCACAACAAAAAAGACAACGCAAACTTTAACGTCCTACATCTACTAGTTTTTGAATTATGGAAGCCACATTCATGCGTACGTACCTACAGATGTCACGAAAATATCTCTTCTGAATCCATTTTACAGACGGTTTTGGACAAAAGTGTCCTTTATTTTGTCCGTAGGTACAGATGTCATGCCAAAACAGCGTTCAAATGCATTCCAGAAGGGTCAAAATGGATATTTTCATTGAAATATCATACCCAAAATTTTTCGTGCTTACAATGCTTCCTTTAAAAAGCATTTCGAAAAATATGCAGTGAAATTCCACAAATTCTCAAAAAAAAAAAAAAAAAAAAAAAAAAAAAAAATTATTGTTTTATTCATTTTTTTAAGGAATAAACACATACAATATACATGCATAAAAACTGACAGATTTTATTATCCATGTTTTTCAGTTATCTGTATACTGCTTCCCGGGCATTAGCCCGGATTGTGCACTGTAATATATTTTTAACGAATTATCCTTCTACACATTAAGACATCTGGTATGAATAAAACAGCTGTGCATAAAAAAATTGCATTCATATGAGTGCATAAAAAATTTCTTTCAATAATTTGAAAACACAGAACTCTTTTAAAATTCAGAATATTAATATTTGTGTGAAGTAATTTTAAACTGTCGTTAATGCTCATTTATTTACATCATCTTGTTAATACACAGGAAAATCTCATCATAATTTAATATTACAATTTTTCCCCAATGCTAAAAAGGAAATTAAGAAATTACCTGTTTGACCCTGTTTATAAATTGGCCTGTCTGTCTGAATGAATATGGTCATGGATCTCTGTGAGAAGGTAAGAAGCGTTTCGTTGATAAAGGCTGTGCCTCCAAGTACCCCATTGATATTACCTTCTACACGAAGCTTGTAAACACCGGGAACACTAGTTGTAGGAACCTAAGTGAAAAAAATATATTTTTAAAATCATGGTTTACCGTGTAAATAACCAGACATCCTTTTTTAAAAGCAAAATACAACGAAACAATTGGAAAAACCAGCCCTCGAAAATTCAAGCCAGTAAAAACATTCACTAGAGTAGAAACTCTTGTATATTTTTTACCTTACCATTACCTTAGTATTTTTTATCTTTTGTATTTATCTACCATGTACCATTATTTCAATATTTTTATCTTTAGTATTTATCTTCTATGTACACCTTGCACAAAAAAAAGGGGGCAGTTCTATATCTCCCGTTCTACTGGGCCTATCGACGAAATTAAATTGCACTTTTCACATCTCCAGAGCGTGACTTAAGATATATATTAGATTTATATATAGCATTATTCTAACATAGGTATTTTGACACAAAATCGGATTTTTTTCTCAAATGACATACCGAATTTTGTTCCATACTTACAATCTACAATTCAGGTTGTACCTAAATATAAAATATTGCAAAACTGGCGAGAAATTTATCTTCTAGAATACAGCCGTTAAATTTAATTTTCAAATTTAACGGTAGTTTAGAAATCACTCTATATGATGATGCAGATTTAGTTATAATCTTAAATGCACTTCTACATCAAATTCTTGCAAAGCAAACTTAAAAGTGTTAAGCGAGATATTGAAACTAATAAGTATTTTCGTAGGATAAAAAAGTATTTCGAAGAGACCATTTCAACGAATGTAGTCCATACTTATGTAACAGAATATAGTGAATTCATTATTTGAACAGTTCAGAGAAGAAAGATTCAATGACTTTAGAAGCCTAGATCAAACCATTAAAATAATTAAGCATCCGGGTGTAGTTCTTTACAGTACTTTGGAAAAGAATTTCCAGTGGATGCAAATTGAGGATTTAGAAATGCAACCTGCAGATTTCACGATTTAGACTCATGTGTTTGTCGATTCAAAATCGAAACTTGAAAATTTGGATCGAAATCGGTTGAGTAACTAAGAAAAGTGCAATTATTAACAAGAAATTTTGAGTGCTTGAAACAGATTACCTGACATTTTTAGCAACATAAAAATCTAGCAATTGGCTTTGTTCATGACTTTTTATCAAAATATTTTTGTGACACTTTGTTCACGGCATTAAATAATATTAAAACGAACAAAAGAAAACAGTTAACAGATGAAAGTTAGAGGCGTTCGCTTGGCCTTGAAGTGCACCGAGTATGAATATGCAATCGAAGAATTAGCAGCCAAAACTTCAGTGTCAAAAAAGTCACTAATTTCTAGTTTTCATACCATTTGATAATCACTTTTTTCAAATGCACATTAATTTTCTGTCTTTTTTCACTTTATACATATTTTTTGTTTGACTTTTCTTTGTTAAATGGTTTGTTTTATTGTTACAAAATAAATATCAAAAATATAAATGTATTTTTTATTATAGTTGCAAATATAATATATATATATAATTTAATTAATGAAATTAAAAGGAAAAGTAGAAACTTAAATGAGTATTTTTTGTGCAATTTGTTTTTATTTGGATAAAAGCTAATTTAATACGCTTTCGAGCCGCCCTTATTTTACGCTTTAAATACTAACTAAATAGAAATTTTTTTCATTTTGAACAATGTTTCTTGTATTGTTCAGGGTTACCCCTTCATGTATATGATTGTAATTAGCTCGTTTAGCTTTTTAAGGCTTTTTTAAGCATTTTTTTCTCTCATGTTTTTAATTTGTTTCTATTTTTGCATATTAATTTTGTAATTCTAGGGTTGCGAATACATGTAGGGAAAAGGTCTGAACATTTGACAGCCACTAAAATGTTGTTTTGAAGTGGAGCTTGAATTCGAATATAGCTTCAATTTTTATATTGTGTCTCAAATAATTCAGAGGAACGAAACACGCATTCAAAACTCGTTAATCAACTTGGTTCAAGCCTTCAAAACACTTTTTCCTTGACAAGTTCTGTTTGAAGCGTTAAACCGAGGAGATTAATACATATTCTTTGTCTATTGTTCTAGTTTGTATTATTTTCAATTTTGTATACGTATTTGAAATTTCTTTTAATTTTATATATAATTTCATGACATCATTTTATATGCATGTAAGATATAACAAAATACGACAGCTGCTTTAAAAATAATTGGCGACCTCAAAATTAACGATTCTAGATTTGGTGCTCTTTCCCTAAAATTCATCTGTTCTCCCAAATTCAAGATCTTTCTATGTTACGTAACAACCTAAGATTAAGCACTCATAGCTTAGAGTACTTTCTGCATGTAATTAGCATAAATTATTCTTGGCATCATTCCTTTCCTTAGCTTCCGCTATGCGAACATCCACGCTGCTTTGCTTAAAATGCATGGGCTTTATTTTTAAAATCGGTGTACATAGAACTTACTGTAATTCATTATGATTGGATAAATATCTACTACAAAATGATGTGATATGCTTGAAAATAAAGATTGGTTATTTATCGAAATCCGATTCGTTATCTTCATGTGTATGCCTTAACCATAAGCCATGACTGTTACCGAAAGCTGTTGAGAGTTCCAGTGTTTCCTTCTACGCATCACATCATTACATATATATAATGCTAATGCTTTCTTCCGAAAGGTTCCTTTCGCGCCAAGCCCTTTTTCTCTTTGAAAGGAGGGAATATGTAAGATAAAAAATATGTAAATCAGCTTTATAATTTAATTTAGTAATAGCCTTTTAATTGCACTTTTTCAATTGGGTTATTTTCCCTTTATTCTATAAATAATAATAACATTAATGTTACCACCTTATTTTTCCTCAAAAAAACTGTGATACAGTCAAAAGTCTTTAATCTGGACGCCCATAATCCGGAATGATCTATAATCCGGAACTCAAAGCTACAAACTTTCTGCGCATGCGTAAACGCATAATGCATGCGCATAATACTTTTACGCATGCGCTTTTAATGTATGACGGACGGTATAAGCTAAGCTAAAATTATCTAATTATCTATTTCAGTTAATGTTGCAGATTGCTTTGTTCCTTAATCTTCTAATTGGATCTGGTTTATTCTTATTATTTTTTGCAAACTGTTAGAGCAATTTTATAAAAGTAAGCTTGAACTTTCGATTATGTCAAAAAGAATTTCCGATTCTGGAGCAGCCAAAGGATCTACAAAGCGAAAGCGAATGTTTCGATGTCCATCAAACAAAAAGTGAAATTGCTGAAGAAAATGGATAAAGGCATATCCTTTGTTTCTCTAACCATTCCGAAATCTGTTTACCAATTTCACGCTGCTCTGCGGGGGGGGGGATGTCGCAGCGCGCAATGAACTGGAAGTTGATCTGTCAGCACTATCCTTATCTTCAGGGCAGATGTTTTTATTTTATCCCGCTTATAATTCCTTACTAAATGTAGTATTTCATCTCGATGTACTCCGTCTTTGATATGATTTAAATCAAATTCCTCGTCATTATAAATATCACGAATACACATCAAATAGCTTTCTGGTTGCAATTTTCTAATTTCGACTATGCGTAATGTATGCTTTACGCATGCGCGCGTTGAAAGAAATGTTTAATAAGTAAACAAATAAATATTAAGCTTTTTTTTTTTTTTTTTTTTTTTTTTTTTTTTTTTTTTTTGGTAAATTTTGATACCCTTTAGTTCATAATTGCTCTTTATTTCATAAATTACGTTTTCATATTTTTAATTTTATAATTTCTGCATGCCATCTTACCAGATTTAAACTGATGATGTATAATCCGGAAAAACCGATAATCCGGAATCGCCGAAGTCCCGACGAGTCCGGATTGACTTTTGATTGTATATTGTTTCTCCAAGACTGGATTTCTCTGCCAAGCGTGTAGTTTTTTGTTGTAGTTCATGTCAGTCTTTAATTTTAGAAACATTCTATGTCGCATTCATTAAAGAATTGTTTAGTGAACAAACCCTGTAAATTTCTAATTTCTATGTTGCTCCATTCTTAAATTAGACACAAAAAACATGCTGTTCCTTAACTTGCGGAGGGCAATGTATTATGCGTATAGATATAGATATAATTCTAGATATAGGAATTTTAGAAACAGTTATATGAAAGCTGTGTATGATGTCCATTTGTCATAAAATATTTTTCTTTTTTTCACAAACTTAAAATTTAAAAAACGAAATGAACAATTGATGAAAACAAGAAAAACAATGAAACTAATAAGAGATTGTCCACTTATTAGTTTGTAACAGATGGTGACGTTATGTAGCAATAAAGTGATTTGTGAAAACGATAAAATTAAAGTGTTCTATAGCATGGTGAATAAAAAAATTCTTGTATAAATCCTAAAGTTTTTAATCTTTGAAAATATTGAAACTGTATGAAATACAAGTATAAGAGAGTGCGACTTTGTTTACTGTTTTAATAACTGGTAGAAATAAAACACTTTATCAGATTAATTTTCAATATAAACTATTTACAATACTTATTTTCAGTAAAAGCCAAGCTAAACTGTTAGAAATGCAAATTTAAAATAATGTAATGTTAATTTACAATAATAAACAACTGATAATTGTTATTTTCAGAACAAAATAGTAAATATACATAATGTAATGAGAGAATATATTGTGACATCACAAGCTTAATCCGACCCATCTATGACGTCACTAAGCTTCCTCTTCAATTTTTTTTTTTTTTTTTTTTTTTTTTTTTTTTTAATGCAGTCTATTTTTGCAGAAATAGTCAATTTCGCACTTTGAAAATATGTCAGGCATGGCAAAATAAAGATCTTGTGGAAGTTTCACGTTGTCAGCCGCAAAATCATTCAAGTTGTATGAGTTTTCATAGTTCTTTTAATTCCCCCCCCCTGGTGTGCACGTAAGAAGAGCATTTCTAGGATATACGTAACGCATACTTTCTTGAATTAAATATTGAAAGAACAGAAATATTCTTCATGAATAGTAGAATATGATAGTATTTTAAATAAAATTTGTATAAATGCATACCTTTAGCAAAAGCGTTTCTGGAATATTTTGTTTAAGCTCTTGGACTGCAGTTGCGAGTTCAACTCCATCACGCTGTATAGATGCTCTCACATTTATAGGAAACATAGTACGAAATACACTAACTGTAACTCTGTACACTTGACCAGGTCGCACCATTTTGGAAGCCATAACAAAGTACGTACTAACAAGAATAAGATAAAATTAAACTAAAAAACAAAATTTTTAATTAATGCTAGTATAAATCAATCTTTCATTCAAATATACATTTCCCAAAATTTACAGGGCAAAAATTAATATAACATTTTCCAAGAAAATATATATATAAGAACAATTAAAAATATTTTGAAGTATGTTAAAAACGGAGGAGTAAAATTACAAAATACTATACAAAACAAGGTACTATTCCGTTTTGAAGACCGTAAAAAAATTGCAGCGAAAATGTATGCGCAAAAGCGCCAAATCTAGCAAACGGGCCCGTTTCACAGCGCGCCAAATCTAGCGTACGCGCTGATTTCAGATTGCGTAAGTTTATATAGTTCTATATTTCTTTAGACGCTATTGAAATACTAGTTTAATTTTTAAATCTTTTTTTGATTTTAAATCCTTTTTTGATATCCTATGGATTTAACAATTTGAGAATTGCCCATGACGAAAAGTCTGCAATAGAATTTTGGGTAAAGTGCAGAATCACCCACTGCTTGACGCGTCGGTATCCATGTACACATTGACCTATTTTCACTTAAAAATATCTCAGAATTGCACAAAATTGGCACTGCGCACACACTTTATCTATATACACATCGACCTATTTTCACTTAAAAAGTAAAAGAAAATTGACAAAAATCCAGTTGTTTTTACCTTTGTAAAAAGCGGTAAACAAATAAGTGGGCAAATCTGCACTTTACCGAGAATTGTTTCAAAGAAAAGGCATCATTCATTATAGAAAATAATGTTTGAACAACCAACGAAATGAAATTATGCTTTAGCGATAACTCGGTAGCGAAATGGCGATGCAGGCATCCATTCAGTTATGTTTTGCAATTTTTATATAAATTATAATAATGATCTGAAGTAGTTATTTACTCTTATGCTTCCATTCAGTCATGTTTAGCTTTTTTATATAAATTATAATAATAAAAATGTATTATATGAAATTAACCTTTCAACTAAATTAAAACATCAATCTTAGATAGTTATTTACTATTATACTTCCTTTTTCCTTTCTTGCGTTAGGGTTGCCGCAATTATTTTTGGCGGCACTGGCATGAACAATAGTTTGGCGAATTTTTACGCAGTCAAAACCAAATAGTACCCAAAAATATTATTAACAGCAGAAGTTAATATACACATGTCTCGGTGAATATAATTTATTAATAAAAAATATTAAATCTATAGAGCTAGCAAATACGAACACAAATAATTGAAAACTAAACTGGGAAAAGAAAGAAACTATGAAAGAATTCACATTTTAACGTCACACCAGATTTGTTAGGGATTTTTCTGCTCTCGCTGACCATCGTACGTTACCAGTCTGTTCTTTTTCTCATTCCTGCTAATACATTTTTTTCTTTTTTTTTTTTTTGTATTTTTAGCTTTATTATTCTGCATCGCTTTCTTCATATAAATTTTTACTAATGGATTATTAAGTATATCCTTTGCAAAAATCAGTTAGTAAATAAATTATTACTTGCAACTTTTGCGCAAGTATTACGCAATTTATTACGATTAATTGATATACTTACTTCAATTTCAACCTTAAAATTAACTATTCTAGATTTGGTGTTCTCCCCCCTAAATTCATCTGTTCTCCCAAATTCGAGATCATTCCAAATTACATAACACTGCTTGAAAAAGGTAAGTAAAACTAAAATTAACCAATCACGGCTTAGAATCACATATGCACCTACGCAGTATATATACTGCTTTGCGAGAAATAATTATTATTATTCAATTCTGGCATTTCTTTTATCATGTGTACGATCGCACTTTACCGAGCACCTCCAGTTTTTTTTTTTTTTTTTTTTCTTTGTCGCTGGACTTGGTCTACCGGCAGTCAGGAATAGCGCATAGACTCTTTTGGTTCAATTTTCATCTGAAGACGTGTTACGGAACTCTAGTATTTTACCCATGTTACGCTTTAATTGCTACTACTGTTGACTACGGACTTCTTCGAGCTCCCATCTTTATGAACTGATAAGTGTTCGAAAATCGTCAAGTTTAGTTATACTGGGATAGCGAGAACTTTCGCGGGTACCCGACAACAGCGTATGCATCGCGCCTGAACCGAGGAAATTCCCTAGTTACTTCAAGCATTTTTTCAAAAGAAGTGTCAAGTGTGAATGCGGACCGAAAAAAAAAAAAAAAAAAAAAAAAAAGCAAGAGGTGCCAAGCACTGCATCTATGTCTGTCGGTTACGTTGAACAGGAACGTTAGGCTACGTTAGGAAGGAGCACCTTCCAAGCTTTACAGCTAAAATTCCTAAGACGGATATGTTTATTATTGTTGCCCAGACGGTATAGTGGTTAAGTACTCGCTACGGCAGTACATATACTAAAATTGGAACGATACAGAGAAGATTAGCATGGCCCCTGCGCAAGGATGACAAGTCCTTTATCTTGGGGTGATCCTCAGTAAAACTCTATAATGGTACCCACACATAACATCTATCCTTAATAAGTTTCGGGTTAGTAAAGTTACACTTCACCCCTTAATTTCTCGAAACAGTGTATTTTCAATAGACAACAAGTTGCTTATCTATAAAACCATACTGCGCCACATACTATGCTTTGCCTGCCCGGTCTGGGCCATATTCATGCAAATCTTATAGAAAGAAAAATTGCAACAGGCTCCAAATTGTGTCCTAAGACAGATTACCAATTCGCCCTGGTACGTTCGAATTTAAAAGTTACATGAAGAATTGGGTATAGAACAACTTAAGTGTTTTTACTGCCAGCTCGCCCGGAACTTTTATGTCAATCTTGTTAATATCAACAACCCAGTTCATAAGGATTTACGATTAAGACTTTAATGACCCAAATAATAGTCAACGGCCTATGGCCATACTTAGTACCCATATTGTATAACTTATTTAATCTAATATGTACCTCTTAATATTGTGTTTAGACTTAAGGTTTAATTATTACTAGTGCACCAAGAAACTCACACTACTTTGCCTATTATTTATACGAATGTTTTTTCTGCATCAGGCTATAGCCAGCTCATTCCTCCTTTCTCGGCCTTCCCAGATAGCACTTCAGGTCTATTGAAACTTCATGCACACTTTAGTCTTTCTAGAAATTTATCTTTTAATTTATCTTTTAGAAATTTATCTTTACGTTCTGGACAACGAAGACACATTGATTGTTGAAAGACTATCTACTTTCCAAGTGTATAACAAGATGTGTAGAAAGAAGACTCTACTTTGCAAATATTTTATATATTTGTTTCCTTGTCTGTATTTTCTGAATAAATGCTTTGTACGTCTGTCTGAAAATGAAGGAGGAGGTTGGCAAATCTTCCAACCAGGAATGTGCGTGTCCGGAACACCTTAGCCCTAACATACCACGTGGTACTAGCCTACGACGGGTAAATTTGTTTTTGTATTCATTCGGCAAGATGTCAAAATTTTACTTCCCCTCAATGTTATTAATTGAAATTAATTGGGCGGAGCATACAAATGTAGTAGTAGTCTATTATTACCTATACTTTACGTCTAGTGAAGCACGAATAATGGAAAAATCATCTAATAATCATCTAATCTTAATGGGAAAGAGCTGCAATTTTAGATAATTTTTTCCATTTTTTACAAATTTTGTTTTCTTTTTTATGAAGTATATAAGATATACACTATGCCTTAACAAATTAAGCATAAAAAGGTGGCATACTTTAACGCGAAAAATTTGTGGAATAATCCGGATCTAATATCTAATTAATTACAGCCAAAATCAGCAATTTTTGTTTTGAAGTTTCTCCCAAAATCGGATCTGGAACGTCCGCCACCAATTTTGTATCAATAGACTGTTCTGTGTGTTCACTAGATCTGTGAGTTTTGAGGCAATCTTTCGCCAGCGAACATCACGCAGTCTGTCTAAAGTTAAACGCACTGCTATTGAAGTTGCTGGCATAAAGTTAAATGCTATCTTCCTAAGAGAAGGGATGACTTCGTGGCGGATTTTCTACAGAAAACTTGCTTGTATCCAGTTTACATATGAGGAAAACCCTGAAAACGCCCATGTAACCAGAACCAGCCAATTCACCTAAGTTCTAATTCGGGGGGGGAGGGGAAGTACCAATTTCAACGGTCTAAACCACTCGACCAATGATGGAACTGAACCAGTGTTTAGTCGTTTTAACGCTCGGGCTCGAATTAACATGAAAGCTTTCCACGAAATGTCAAAATAGTCACAAAAAACGATTTAAACAAATCCGCAAAGACTACAATTGGCCACTTCGCTGCTCGTTGACTCGTCTTCGTGAAGGACTTTCTAAGGAAAACTGAGTTGAGTTGATGTTAATCCTAAAAATTCTTTCTGCTTGGGAGAAATTCAACTTCATCCTGCACACACAAATAAAAAAAGAATTTTAAAGCTAACAGTAACTGAAATTTCAAATAATGTATTCTTTGTAACATTAAGGAGGATTTCTTCCGATAAAATTTGGGAACTGCCATAGTTTTTAAAAGTTCGATGTTTGCTACTTTTCAATCACTGTATATATAATTTTTTATTAGTTACATATCTTTAAAAAAATCCTGATGTGAACATCACATGATTTTGTACGGCCTATTAAATTATACACATTTTTGTTGCACTTCACTTAAACTTATTTCCTTGAATTATACTAGCTTCATTAACCGATCCCTCGAGGAAAGTTGACATCAGAAACTACAAATTTTGAAATTAAATATCTGGGTCAGTTTCTGTTGTACGGAAGTCAAACTTCTTGCATTTTTAATTTTTCTTGACGAGTATAAAACGTTCCCAAATATAAATAAGGGAGACCGCATTCAAAGTTAAATTTCGTTATTTCTTGAAAATGTATTTTTCACGAAATAACTAACATTAAATATGACATTGACAAACCTGAATACTTTCGTCATTTAACATATTCTCGCCCTACATCTCAAAAATCACGAAAACACCTATGCTAGCAGCCCGTTAGCTGGGATTTGAGGTCGCGTCGAACTACCAGTAGACAGCGTTGTTACCGCTTGGTGTTGGTGAAGCCACCGTGTAGCTTAATGGCGTTACTAAGCACACAAGTAGAAGCGTTACATGTTATACACAGAACGGAACAGAAATTTAAATGCACAATCATAGTTCCTCCGCACTAAATCTACATTTCCTGTCCAGATTTTGATGGAGAATTCCCCTGAAGACGGATGCAAAGGTTTACCGTCCCTTTTCCCCGACCACCAATCATTTGGGTTTCAGCTTGCTGTCGTACAGATACGAGTACTACAATGTATACAGAACACTATAAAACGAGTCTAAAGTAGGTATACTCACGGTTCATGCTTCAGATGTTCTTTCCTGTTTTCTCCTAGAAATTGAGGGTAGACATCAGATCCTTGGCAGGAAACAGAGGTGAGAAAGAAAAGAAAAGCAACCGAAAACTCCAAAAGCATTTTGACCTGCGGGGGGGGGGAAAATATTAACAAAATATCTTAATGTTACCAGCATTTTCTAAAAAGTTATTCTATACGGAAATATCCACAGGATTTAAAATAAAATTAAAGGTACTTGTTCATTAGTCGGGTGCAAAACTATTTCAAAATACTCAAGCGAATTCAAAATACTCAATGTGATAAATAGCCAAATATAAAGCCCTTGTTAGCTTAAACAAAAAACTAGGGCGCCATATTTGGTGACGTTCGATTTCTGATCTACTGAAACAGTATTTACTGTCGACTCGAAAGTGTAAATTCTAGTGCTTCTCATTCAGTTGTGTAGAATATTTAGAATTTGAATATATTTTGGATCTTTCATTCTTTATCATTCGTGAAATGATGTTTTTTTTTTTTTTTTTTTTTTTTTTTTATTATTTATATTACGGCAAAGCTTTCGAAGGCTATCTGCCTTTAGGGAGGAATGCTTTCGTGGAGGACTTTTTAAGGGAAACTGGCTCGTATACACGTTACACATGGGGAAAAACACGAAAACACCCATGCAGCCAGCCCGTTCGCGTTCGGCATTCGAACCTCGGACCGAACTACCAGTGTTCAGCGACGTTATAGCTCGACCGCTGGTGGGCCCGTGAAAAAATATACTCTGCTGCAGAAGAAGACTGATAATTTAGTTTAGCATTTACGTATTATCCGTCGACCGCTGACGGAAGTTTCGGCAACGATCGCCAATCATTACTGCGGAATTCTAAAGGAAGTTCTCATCCATAATTGGTGCTAAATCGCGCTATTTGGCCTGTCGATGGGATAATACATAAATACCTTTAGTTTTTAAGTTTAATAGATGAGTTTTCAAAAGTATTTTTGCGTATTTCAGTATTAAATTAAAGCGACCATCGCATATGCTTTGGCGAATTTTAAAATTAATCTGGCAAATACTGAAAAACAAGAGAGCAACCTTCAAAAAATGAAAAACCAGAATACGGAAACATAACAAATAAAATTTATTGAACAAATGGACAACATTTATTTGAATTAAACCAGAAATAATACTACTTATTTATTCTTGGAGAATAACGTTTTATTTACATTAGTTCAGGTTACATATCGGCTGCTATAAAAGAATCAAATATTTCATTTCCTTTTATACTACCATCGTAAATATGAATCGGAGTGTTGGCAAGCCGTTCTTTTTTGTCTTTTGTTTCGTCATCTGGCTACAGCTTTCCTACATATAATTTCATTTGGTGGCGGCCACTTTCACTTTTTGCACTTTCTCTCAGTTAAAAAAAAAAAAAAAAAAAAAAAAAAAAAAAAAAAAAAAAAAGTGTTCTTGTAAGAAACCTGCTTCTTTTTCAGTTGAAAGCAATTTAAATATGGTCAGGATTTTAGAGGGAAAATTAATTCTAAAGAATACGAAAAAATAAACGATATTACGTCTTATTTTTAATTTGACGTAAAATTAAAAGTTGCCAACATTTAAAAAGAAAATATTTAACGATAGAATGATCAAAAGTAAGCGTGAAAAAAAAAAAAATTATGGCACACTGCAAATATTACCAAAAAATACTGCTTCTTTTCTAATTGATTATAAGTTAAGCGAATCGGTGTGAAAAACAAATCCACCTCTGGAAATTAAAAAATCTAGGCATTACGTTTATTAAGCCTGGCGACTAATCTTCCGATTTTGGTGATTAACCGAGGTGTCTGCTTTAATCGAGAAACACCTGTTTTTGCTCCTCAACAAGTCAGACCTATGTCAGATCGCCCTTCAAACCCATAGTTTGAATTTTTTAATTAATTAGTCGGGCAATAGTCTGTGAAACTAATTAAATAACCAAGAGATAGTTAAATCAAAATTAGACCATGAAAGGGGGCAACCCTCTAACATGAAATATATTTATCAAAATTAAGGAGATCTAGATCACTGACAATACTGGAAAATCTCAAAATTAAGAGAAAATGACATTTAAAATAATTTAATTAACATTAAAATAATCGAAGCGCTTCAAAACTGGAACAAAGTACTTTTTTTAAAATTTTCATAATTTAATTAATATTAAGATTTAATTTCCTCCGACGTCACCCCATAATAAAAATTTTAAATATTTGAAGGATTATGAAAAGAGTTCTCGAGTAAGAAACAGAATAACCATTGGCTAAATCAAAAGGAATCCTCTAAACAAATATTAATCAAGTTTTCAAGCAAAAAACTAATAATCATCGGATAAATCAAAAGCAATCTTCTAAACAAATTTTAATTAAATTTCCAATTTTTTAAATTTCGACATGTGTATTTCCTGTTAAAGGATTATTATACCCCTTTCACGATGTAGTTTTCATTTAATTATTATACCTTGACTATACATTTTTTTTAAATATAGATTTTTTTTAATATGTTTTATAAATTAGACAACAAAAAGTAGAAAAAACGTTGATAAATACCAAAACTTTAATAAAAGCAGTTTTTTATATTCATAAACTAAAATTTAATACTTAACAGCTAAATAAAATGCTGACCGAAGTTAGTAACAATAAAGAACACGCCAACAATCTTTTGTTTCTCATTCTAACGTCTGTTAAGCACAAAAGCATCTGAAACGAACTAAGTATTTTATAAAACAATCTCTTCAAAATCTACCAACATGAAATTTATACTCGGACAACGTACAAACCGGAGAGGAAAAATATGTTGATAAATTTAACTCGATGAAAAAAGTTAAGAATCATAATTCATGAAGGCAGGATATGGTAAATGCAGTATAATTACGTATGTCACTTCTGTATAATTATAGGACATTAACTTTATACCTACGCAGAAGAACCCTTCAGATGCGGATTCATTAAAGCTAAGATTTAAAAAAAATCTCAGTAGCCGCCTTTTTCTGCTGAATGAAATCGTCTGTTTCAAATAAATCCCCCGCTTATTCGACCGCTTAGGTACGTGAAAGAGAATAACTGAAATTACTTTATTGAGGTTTATTAGATTATGGTAGATCATTGGAGAGCTGTGTACGTAAGCAGATGATACTTTCGTGGAGGACGTTTTAGGAAAAACTGGCTCGTATTCACATTTTACACAGGGAAACTTCTGTGCCTTTTCGCCAAGATTTGACCGCAGATCAATCTATCAGTGTTCTGAGATCTTGCTGCTCGGCCGCTATAATAGGTCCCCATTGCAGATGGCTAAAAATCATATTAATGCGGATAATAAGACAGATAGTCGACAGTTTCAAGGCTCAACAATTTTTTTTTGGCCGAGGGAATCGACACTGCAGCTCTTATATAGGTTTCGATCAATTGTATGTAGTGCTATGCTTTTGTCGATCTTGTATAGATATCCTAAAAATAAAAATTTAACATGTTGACTGCCACAGCAAAATCGGGTAAAATACTCTGTCGAACATTTTTTTTATTATTATTCTAGAGTTTTATTGTCCAATTTATCTTAAAAATCAGTTCGGTACTTAGTTTTCGTTTATTGTTTTGTTTATTTTCATTGTTTTCGACGTGCGTCAGGTTGTCTTCCACATAAATAATAATTACTTAAAAGTTACTGCAGTAAAACATGTATTAAAATTATATAATAATTTTTGAAAAAAAGCCTCCATAAGTCGAGAAGCAAGAATACGGAGCAACTTCCTGAGGCCATAGAAATAATTTTAACTGTATGAATCTGTGCGTTTGTGAAGCATCGGTGACTCACATGGCTTCAAACAATACAAAACCTGTGAATTACATCCGAAAAGTAAGACCGCTGTGAATGGTGTGATGCACATGGCAGCTGAGGTGTTTATCGGTACTTACGTATTAACGCCACCGCAGCGGAAGTTGCGCTGATGAGCCAATAAAGAACAATCCTGTTGTTCGCACGCAGTTATCTTTTGGATTCCTTTTTGCCTTGTTTGCTGATTTTTTACGCCATTTTTAGTGCTACGAAAATGCGCCCTTGGGATTTGCCAAACATAGGAGAAGTTGCAATTTTATTTTTTCAGGAACGAAATATTTTTTTTAAAAAAATGTTCCAAAGGTAAGAAATTTTATTTTGGTAAACGTACGTTTTGGAAATGTAATTTAAGACAGTGTGATCAGCAAGTGGGATTTAGAAAAGACAACTAGTTTGAAGGAAGCATAATTCCATTTGTTCAGTTTTGAAATTCATATACTGCTGGTGCGAGGAGTTGACGTCTATTAAATTTTGAGAAAAGCAACTTGATTTATGGAATAAAACTGTTATACATTGGAACAATTACATGCTTGAATTGATGAAAGTTTGTTTACTAAGCGTAAAAATAATTGTGGTCGAGTATTACCCGAACAGTGGGTGTTTGGTGGTATATGTGGAGAAACAAAAGATTCATTTTTTTGTCACTGTTCCTAATAGAACTGGCTCTGCCATTCTTAATAAAATTATTGAAAACATTGCAGATGGTAGCACAATTTATTCTGACAGTTGGAAAGGTTACCAAACAAATAGAATAGAAAAAGAAGGATTCATACATGCTAAAGTTAATCATAAATACAATTTTATTGATCCTGATACAGGAGTTCATACACAAACAGTTGAGAGAATGTGGGGCAGTGCTAAATGGAGGAACAAGAGACAAAGGGGGACAGAGAGACATCATTTAGAATCTTATTTAGGAGAGTACATATGGCGACAGCATCAGGTCAAAAATAGAGACTGTTTCGAATCTATGCTAAACTCTATATCGGCCCATTTTCCACAGAAATGCGATTGAATACTTTGATTTTTAAATAAAGTGTTTTGATTTTTGAAAGTGTTTGTTAGGTGTCGAAATTAGGTGTTTTAATTTATGATTTGTCACAAATATTTTAGGCGTAGATTGGCGACACGTTTCTGCTAATCATAAACCTTGTGTATGTTATGCCAGTACTGACAACGTGACGGCATCAACTGTATGCAGTATCGATGATACGCACTGTCGTCGTTATGCCGGTGACAAATGTGCATTAATACTGTTTCTCGATATTATATCGGTATTAAT